GGACACCCCAGGAAGATAGAGCCAGAGGGGACTCAGAGGGGAGCAGTTGGAAATCGGGACCAACGTCACCGCCAGAGAGCAGGGAAGAGGAAGGGCACCAGGGATCAAGCGCTGGCAACTCACAACAGGGGGGAGGGCACGAGTCAGGAGTGGCCACACCTCCATCGGGGAGCGAAGAAACGGTCAGACGGAAGGTGGAAGGTTGGGCGCGCGCGCCAAGTTCAAATGCACAGGAAGGTGGCGCAGTAGGCAGCCCGGAAAGGGAGCCAGGTCCCAAAGCCCGCCGAAAGGAGGGAGAAGAGTCAGGGGAGTCAGCGTCAGCGTCAGAGGAATCCCGGAAGGAAGAGACCCCGGGGGGCAGAGGGACCCAGAGAAGAACAGTCAGGCGGAAAAGGTGGAGCAGGGCTAGGATATTAAGTTGGTGTACAAGGGGCGGAGACTCAGACGGAGCTTCGCCGGTCTAAGCATGAGACGTAGAGTTGCACGCAGCAGCTTGAGAATGGAAACTGTAACTCAATAAAGACTTTTGCTTAATGATCGCTGGCTAGCGTGATCCTCTGTGAGCTAGGATCTGGAAGCAGCTCTGACACACACGAATGACAATTTATGTTGGAAATGCAAAGAAAAAGAAGGCACCTTTTATCATATGTGGTGGATGTGTCCCAAGGTGAAAGACTTCTGGGAAAAGATGTTAGATTGTTTTTGTATGCCACTACAGTGGCAAGACTGCTATTAGCTAAAAATTGGAAATCTCAAGAAATACCAACAATAGAAGAATGGCAGATGAAGATGTTGGACATTTTGGAGCTGGCCGACCTGACTAGAAGAATCCGTGACCAGAAAGAAGAGGCGTATCAAGAAGACCGGAAAAAAATTAAAGAATATTTAGCCAAATATTGTAACATAAGATAATAAGAAGTTACTTGGAAGTATCAAATAGGTTTAGATTAAGAATGAATTGTAAAGAATTAAGGATAAGAATATCAATAAAAGAGAGAGGATATAAAGAACTGATTCAAGAATTTGGTCAAGTGGCAGGATTTAAATTGAACAAGTCAAAAACTAAGCTTTTAGAGAAAAATTTAACACCGATTGAAAGAGAGAGGTTTCAGAATGAGACAGGTTTAACAGTGGTTAAGAAAGTTAAATACCTGGGGATTAACATGACAGCAAAAATGGGAACTTATTTAAAGATAACTATGAAAAATGTTGGGCTGAAGTGAAAAAAGATTTAGAAATTTGGTCAAATTTGAAGCTTTCACTGCTGGGCCGTATTGCTGCGGTAAAAATGAATGTATTGCCTAGAATGTTGTTTTTGTTTCAAACTTTGCAAATTGTGGACAGAATGGATTGTTTCAAGAGGTGGCAGAAAGATATTTCTAGATTTGTCTGGCAGGGCAAGAAGCCCAGAATAAAATTTAAAATACTAACGGATGCAAAGGAAAGAGGTGGATTTGCCCTGCCAGACCTCAAACTTTATTATGAATCAGCAGCTTTTTGCTGGCTGAAAGAATGGCTACTTCTTGAAAACACTGACCTTTTGGACCTAGAAGGGTTTAATAATGTACCGTATTTTTCGCTCTATAGGACGCACTTTTTCCCCTCCAAAAATGAAGGGGAAATGTGTGTGCGTCCTATGGAGCGAATGCAGGCTTTCCCGGGCTTCCTGCAGCTCCGCGCCACCCTCCGGATCCCGCGGGGCTCCGGACGGTGGCGCGGAGCTGCCTGCGCTCCAGGGCTTCTTGCGGCTCCACGCCACCCTCCAGACCCCCGCGCGAAGCCGTGCGGGGCTACGGAGGGTGGCGCGGAGCTGCCTGCGCTCCAGGGCTCCTGCAGCTCCGCGCCACCCTCCCGATCCCGGCGCGGCCGCGCGGGCTCCGGAGGGTAGCGCGGAGCTGCCTGCGCTCCAGGGCTTCCTGCAGCTCAGCGCCACCCTCCCGATCCCGGCGCGAAGCCGCGCGGGGCTCCGGAGAGTAGCGCAGAGCTGCCTGCATTCCAAAGCCTGGTGCGCACTGAAGAGCGCGCCCAGGCTTCGCGCACCTCTCCACAAGCCTGGGGAGACCGGCTCGGTTCCCTAGGCTTGCGGATAGCAGGCTGTTCTGGGGGCTGGGGTTGGGGGAAGCTCGGGCTTCCCCCGCGCCTGCCCCGTGCCTGGGGAGGGATTTTTTTTTTCTTTATCCCCCCCCCCCAAAAAAAAATAGGTACCTTGAACGCACCTTGTTTTAGAGGGAGAGAACAAGAAAAAAAATTTTTTCCCTGTTCTCCCCCTCCTATGATCCGGTGCATCCTATGGTCCGGTGCGTCCAATGGAGCGAAAAATACGGTATTTGGATGGCATGCATATCTATGGTATGACAAGGTCAAAGCACATAAAGCATTTAAAAACCACATTGTCAGGAAAGCGCTGTTTAATGTTTGGATAAGATATAAGGATTTGCTAGAAAATAAAACCCCAAGGTGGCTGTCACCAATGGAAGCGAAAGCCTTGAAAAAGGTCAATATGGAGGTCAAATGGCCGAAATTTTGGAACAAGACGGAGATAGACTGAAATTGCAGAGTTTTGAAAAATTAAAAAACAAAGTGCGAGACTGGCTTCATTATTTTCAGATAATGGAGGCATTTAAATTGGACAAGAAAATTGGCTTCCAGGTGGAAAGATCAAAATTAGAAACTGAACTGTTAGAACCCAAAACTAAGAATTTGTCAAGAATGTATAACTTGCTGCTGAAATGGAACACTCAGGATGAAACGGTAAAATTGGCTATGATTAAATGGGCACAGGACGTTGGACATAACATTATGTTTGCTGACTGGGAACAGTTGTGGACCACAGGTATGAAATTTACGGCATGTAATGCCTTAAGAGAGAATATTATGAAAATGATATACAGGTGGTACATAACCCCAGTCAAGCTTGCGAAAATCTATCATTTGCCCGATAATAAATGTTGGAAATGTAAAGAAACTGAAGGTACATTTTTTCACCTTTGGTGGACGTGCCCAAAGATTAAGGCTTTCTGGGAAATGATATATAATGAATTAAAAAAGGTATTTAAATATACCTTCCCTAAGAAACCAGAGGCCTTTCTCCTGGACATAGTCGGCCAAATGGTGTTAAAAAAGGATAGAACTTTCTTTATGTATGCAACAACAGCAGCAAGAATACTCATCGCAAAGTATTGGAAGACACAAGAACTTCCCACGCTGGAGGAATGGCATATGAAACTGATGGACTATATGGAACTGGCGGAAATGACTGGCAGAATCCGTGACCAGGGAGAAGAGGCGATGGAGGAAGATTGGAAGATATTCAAAGACTACTGTCAGGGGTTCAGGGACAGAGGCACAGGGTAGGGAGGAGATGGAGAGCGATGGGGATGAATCCCAGGACAGCGAGGAAGAGGAGGACAATGACTCAAGAGATTCCATGAGTCTTTCCAGCGAATCAGAGGATTCCCAGAAGGGGACGCCGGTGGTCAAGGCCAGGGGAGCCCCAGGGGGGACGTGTCAGGAGCAGGGGGGCAGCGGGGGATCCCAAAGTGGCAGCTGGGCGTCAGGACCAGCCTCCCCGCCAGAGTGCAGCGAAGGGGGTGGAGGTTCCAGTGTATCAGGGGAAGCAGCTCCGGCAGCAGAGAAGGGAGGGAGGTCAGAGCAAGCCACCCTCCCGGAAGGGGAGGGGAGTAGTGAAGGGAGTAGCGTAACTGTCAAAAGGAAAGTTAGAGGTTGGGCGCGCGCGCCAAGTTCAAATGTGGAGGCGCGCGGAAGTACAGGGAGCCCGGAGGAGGAGCCAGGTCCCAAAGCCCGCAGGAGGGGGAAGAGCAATCTGGGGATTCCGCGTCAGGGGAATCCAGGAGGGGCGAAACCCCAGCGGGCAGGAAGACCCTGCGGAAAAGGAAAGAGAGGAAGAGGTGGAGCAGCGCAAGCCTCTTAAACTGGTGCAGGGGAGGGACTGACTCAGAGGGGACTTCAGCGGTCTAAGCGTAGCAGACGTGGGGCTGCGCGCCTCGGATGTGAAGCAAACAATGAACTCCAATAAACACTTTTGTATATAAGAAGAACTTGGCGTTGGTCTTTTGTGAGCTGAGACCTGAGGCAGCCCTGACAACTACCTACAGAAACATTGCAAAATTAAAGAATGTTAGAGTGATGTTGGATTGAAAATAAGTGGTTTCCAGCTGTACAGGATAAAGTTATAGATAGACTAAGATTAAAGATTAGGATTAAAAAAGTTTAAGGAAATGGAAATTTGGTACTTAAGAGGTAAAATTTTAATGCTATATTACATCAAGATTAAAGATTAGGATTAAAGAAGTTAAAGGAAAGGGAAATTTGGTACTTAAGAGGTAAAATTTTAATGCTATATTACACTAAGATTAAAGACTGGGATTAAAAAAGTGGAAAAGAAATTGCTGGATAAACAATTTGGACTGGAATACAAAAGAGGGAGGTATGAGGAAGTCCAGAAAATAAGTAAATTTAAAAAAAAAGGAAATGAAAAGGTGATATTGTTTTTAATTGTTCTGTTTCTTTTTTTGTTTTTAGTTTTTTTGTGTTTTTCTTCTTTTTCTGGGATTTGTACTGTGTATTTGTGTATTTCTTTTTTATGTTTTTTCTGTTTAATTTTTTATTGAAACTTTAATAAAAATTATTTAAATATATATATATATAAATAGAAGGAGTTAATTTTATTAGAAATATGATTTTGGAGAATTGTTACAAGGTGATACAATGAAATTCAGTTAGGGGGGATTTGAAGTCAGTTAACAATGAAAGTTAAATTAGGATAGAAGTAATAAGTGATTTTATTTGTTTTTTTATTGTTTTCTTTAGTACTGTAATGTGTCTTCTTTTGTGTGTTTTGTATGTTATTTTTGTTATAAATGTGGAAAATTAATTTTAAAAATTGACAAATAAAAATTACTATTGTAAAAGTCTCCCCTGCTGAGTACATTTAGACATTTGTAACCATTTCATATATTAGTTGTGCAAAAATACATCTCCCCCCACCCCTGAGCTCTGGACTCCAAGTGTCTTCACCTAAAAGATGTAAAGAACTCACAGATTAGTTTCAAAACCAAGAGAATGTGACAAAACGCAGAAAACACTCCTTCCTCCTTACCCAGAGGCCTCATTCTGGCGTCCAACAGAGTCTTCTCTGCCTCAGAAGAATCAAGACCCATTTCTGCAAAAAGATTCTTCCCCTGAAAGAGAAACATGGATTCAAAACAGAGAATGGGGAGAAGGAGTAGAAAAGTTTATTTAGTATTTTTATTAAATCTACTACTTCCTTACATCTGAAGGCCCTCCACTGCCGCAGGGAACCTCGTCAAGGCCCTCGTCTGCTGCGGGGAAAGGCAGCACACCCTCTGCCACTGTGAGGAGGTATGGTGGGACCCTCTGCTCCCATGGGGAGGCCCAGCAAGGCCCTCTACCACGGCAGATATATATCATGATATACTGAGATATCGTGATACTTAACTGCTTGAAAACCAGATATCGCCCATCCCTACCGGGAGGACTCCCAAGGAGAGGGGAGAGGAGGCTGAGGGAACATTCCACAAAGGAGGGTGTTTGAAAAGGGGTGAGGCAGCAGGCACAGGGTGACATAACTGGATTTCTAAGGCTCAAAGAGCATTTCCCCATGCAGAAAGGATGTACTTGATCAAGGGAACCATGGACTCAGAAAAGGTGAAAACCTCTGTACTAGAGCATTTGGGGATATTCTCCCTCCTCTTTGGAGCCCCTTGGGAGTTTCCAGAGGAAGTCTCTCTCACCTGCTGCTCTGCCTGCTTTCTCTCCTCTGCCTGACTCAGGAGGAAACCTTCGGCCAGGGCCACTGCCTGGGAACTGGTCTCCGCTCTGCATTCCTTCACCCAGTTCTCCATCTCTGGAGGAAGGACAGCCAGGAACTGCTCCAAGATCACCAGGTCCAACATCTGAGCTTTCATGTGCCTTTCTGGCTTCAGCCACTGGTGGCAAAAGTGGTAGAGTTGGCTGCAAATCTCTCGGGGTCCTTTGGCCTCCTGTCTGAGTTGCTGGCTCTGCACATCTGAGTAGAGGGTGTTCTCCTCATCCAGGATCTTCTGCAAATAGCTTCCCCAGAATCCACCATTGCGCCCAGTTTTGATGGCAAGGCCTATTCCTGCTTCAGGGCCAGCTGAATATTGCTCATCCATCTATGTTATCACGTCACCTCTAAGAGATTGGAAGAAACCCCTTGGTCTTTCCTAATGAGAGGTGCTAGAAAATCCTACAAAACAAATGCATTGTTCTGTTATAAAACTGATACACAACCAGGAGAGGAAAAATGTTCCATGGGCAAGCATGAATGAGTCTTGCTAGGAATCACAGCCCGCATTCTTTTGAAAATAATTAGAAGGAATGAAATCAGAATGGTGATTGACGAGTGAAACATTTGTAATAGGTATAATTTGGACCCAGGACGTGGGTGGCACTGTGGGGTAACCCACTGAGTCTCTGGGCTTGCCAATCGGAAGCTTGGCGGTTCGAATCCCTGCAACGGGGTGAGCTCCCATTGTTTGGTTCCACCTCCTGCCAACCTAGCAGTTCGAAAGCACATCAAAGGGTAAGTAGATAAATAGGTACCGGCGGGAAGGTAAACGGCGTTTCTGTGTGCTGCTCTGGTTTTGCCAGAAGCGGCTTAGTCATGCTGGACACATGACCCGGGAAAACTGTCTGCGGACAAAAGTTGGCTCCCTTGGGCAGTAAAACGAGATGAGCGCCACAACCCCAGAGTTGTTCGTGACTGGACCTAACAGTCAGGAGTCCCTTTACCTTTTTAAAAATTTGGACCCAAGGCAATATTCTTCTTCTTCATTGAATTTATATACCGCCCTATACCCGTAGGTCTCAAGGCGGTTTACAGAATAAAATCAAAAAATAAAACCACAAAATCCATAATCAAAATAAAAACAACCAAATAATACCCCCCCCCAAAAAATTTTTTAAAGGGCATAGGTTGCCAATCAAATCAACCAAAGGCCTGGTTAAAAAGGAACTTTTTTGCCTGGCACCTAAAGGTGTATAATGAAGGCACCAGGAGACCTTCCCCAGGGAAGGTGCTGGGGAGAACATTCCATGGACTGGAAGCCATGGCAGAGAAGGCCCCGTTTTGGTGTTGCCACCCTCTGGATCTCTCAAGGAGAAGGCACATGAAGGAGAGCCTTAGAAGGTGATCTCAGGGTCTGGGTAGGATCAAATGGGGAGAGGCAGTCCTTGAGGTATTACAGTCCTGAGCCATTTATAATAATAATATAATAATAATAATTTATTATTTATACCCCGCCCATCTGGCTGGGTTTCCCCAGCCACTCTGGGCGGCTTCCAACAAAACACTAAAATACAAAAATCAATTAAACATTAAAAGCTTCCCTAAACAGGGCTGCTTTATAGGTCAAAACCTGCACTTCGAATTGTGCCTAGAAGCACTGGAGGAGGAAGAGGGGTTTTGGGGGGGGAGTGCACCACCCCCAGCGGCATGATTCCAGCAGGGTGCCATTGCAGCTGCCCCCCCCCCCCGCACTGGGTGCCACACCCCCACAGACGGTGCACCACGCCCTCACCCCATGGTTGTCATGGCGACCACGAAGTCGCCCCAGAGCCAGCTGCCTTGGCGTGGATGTTGAAGTCTCCCAGAACCAGCAGTCTGGGAGAGCTTAACACTGCCTCCAAGACCAATTCTGTCAGCTCAGGCAGGGAGACTGCTGGGTAGCAAGGTGGGTGGTAAACCAGCAGAATCCCTAATCTGTCCCGATTGCCCAACATCAGGAACACACACTCTAGACACCCCCCACTGGACAGAGCCTGAAGATAGAGAATCTCTACAGACCACAGCAGCTCCCCCTCCCCACCCTCGAGTCTGGCCTGATGCAGCACTGAGTACCCAGGTGGGCACAGCTGGGTGAGACCAACTCTACCCTGTTCACCCTCTAGGTGGAACTGCCCTGGAAGACAACTCAGATTCTGGTCAAAAATGCAGTGGCCAAATAATAAACTGGATTCCTTCTATTTTAAAAATAATGTTTCTATCCCACCTTTTTCTCCAAAGAGCTTCAGGTGGCATTCATGGGTCTATCCCTCCTCATTTAACCCATTTAAATCATATAAACACCTGCATTGGTTACTATTTCATTTCTGTGACCAATACAAGGTGCTCACATGAGGGATTCACATAAGCCCCCAGGTATATGTAGAACCATCTTGCTTTGGAAACACCCCCCGCTCCCCGTTCATCAACAGACCAACACTTTATATTGTTTCATAGGCAATAGAAGAGGAAAAATGACAATTAATCTAAGGACAACCACAAGGGCTCTTGAATGTTGGCTATGCAATGTTGAATGTTCCAGTGGTTTTCTCAATTACAGCTGGCAGAGAGATTTAAGCTGGATAAAAGGATTTTTAAATAGAACAAAAAGAATTGGCCACAACCTTTTTTTAAAGCCGCCTAGGTTGGTGACCATCCCTGCTTCCTGTGGGAGGGAGTGCCATCGGTTTAACTACGCACTGCGTGATGAAAGGACTTTCTTCTATCTGGCAAGACCTGTCCAGCATTTTTATTCGCTTATCCCATAGGCCAAGTATTATTTCTACGTCCAAATGTTGCCATCTGGCTAAGACCTCTGTGAATCGCTGTGACCTCCGTTAATGAATGTGACCAACTCCGCAATCTAAATGGGGTTCATTTGCATTCCCATTTTTTCCTAACGCAAAGACGCCTCCCCAAAGGACCTCCTACAAACTCGCCCCCTCCCTGGCTTTGCAGAGAGGAAGGGGCAGAAGATCTGCTCCCTGGCTGGGGTCCCCGCTGCATGAGCTGAGCAGCCCCCCATGCACCCTCCCCATCTCGCCGAAGCGCCCCATGGGGGAGAGGAGACTCACCAGAGCCCAGAAGGCATAGCCCGGCCACCTCTGGCAGAGGCAGGAAGGATGTCTGTCCTCTCTAGGAATGCAACTCAGCTCCTTTAACGCTTGCAAGGCGCAGCTCGCCAGCCTCTCAGGAGCCGCATGCATTGCACTCCCCCCGCGATGTCATCTTGGGGGACCCTCTGAGCTGCCACCTGGGCTGTTTCCTCCCTTGGCCAGAAACGGGGGGACAGCTTGCCGTGCAAAAGGCTCTCCAAGGAGCAGGAAAGCCCACCCTAGAATCACAGAAGTGGAGCCGGGAGGAACCCCCACGGTCATCTAGCCCAGCCCCTTGCAAGGCAGGCATCTCATCGGAAGCATCCCTGTCAGGTGGGCATCCCGCCCGCCTCCTTCTCCCCATCACGCCCCCCCCCTCACCGGCTCTACCAGTCCCACAGCAGCCTCAGCCGCACGCCTGCCAGCCGACCCCTCTAGGTCCGAGGAAGGCGCTCGGCTAGCCAAGCCGGAGAAGCCAGGGGCTCCCGACTCCTCCCCAAACGCCTCCCCCAAATCCCGGAGAAAGGCCAAAGCTGGAAGGACTCCCCTTCCTTTGCACGTGGGAACAGCAAGAGAGCCTGGATCGGGCGAAAGCCTGTCCCTTAGCTGGCAGTGCTAGATTTACTATAAGCTAAACAAGCTATTCTCTGCAGCCAAAGATGGAGAAGCTCTTTACACTCGGCAAAAACTAGATCTGGAGCTGACTGTTGCTCAGATCATCAGCATCTTATAGCAATATTCAAGTCTAAACTGAAGAAAGTAGGGAAAACCACTGAGCCAGTAAGATACAATCTAAACCAAATCCCTTATGAATACACAGTGGAAGTGAGGAGCAGGTTACTTATTCATTCTGAAGGAAATCAGCCCTGAGTGCTCACTGGAAGGACAGATCCAGAAGCTGAAGCTCCAATACTTTGACCACCTCATGAGAAGACTCCCTGGAAAAGACCCTGATGTTGGGAAAGATTGAGGGCACAAGCAGAAAGGGATGACAGAGAACGAGATGGTCGGACAGTGTAGTGTCTGGCATGCTCTGGTCCATGGGATCACAAAGAGTCAGGCACGACTAAACAACAACAACAAAACAAGCTATAGTTTAGGGCCCCACTCTCTTGGGGGCCCCCAAAAAAATTAAGGGGGGGAACTGGATGTACATTTCCAAACTATAAGATAAAAAAAATAAAACCTACATAAAGCAACAGTGTTTCATGTTGTGTGGGCTCCTATGATGTAAGTAATGGGACCCACTTAAAAACGTCCAAGGAGAGTCCACCACCTCTCATGGGAGTCTGTTTCACTGCTGAACAGCTTACTGTCAGATTTTTTTTCTGTTTAGTCAGAATTCCCTTTCTTGCAGCTTGAAGCCATTGGTTTTGAGTCCTACCCTTCAAAGCAGAAGAAAACAAGCATGCTCCCTCCTCCATGTGACAGCCCTTAAGATATTTGAAGGTGGCTACCCAGGGCCGGATTTAGATGAAGAGCGGCCCTCGGCTACTCCACTTGTGAGTAGCTCCCAATCACCCACCCTCATGACTAGTAGAAAATGGAAAAGTGTTATAAACAAAATTGAATGAAGCCAAGGATGATGGGTTTTTTAAATTCTGTAGTTCACATTTTCTCCTCTAAAGGATATCAGAAAACATCATCAAAATTTGTTTATCTAAGTTTGTCACTTTCAATGTACAGAATGCTCAGTGCAGACAACCTCTCTTGAGATATCATGGCCCTTAATTCATTTTTAATTCTTTGGGGTCTCGAAAAACTCCTCTCCCCTGAGCAGTTAGTGACCATAAAGCTAAGATATAGCTGCAAGATGGTTTCCACATTAGGAAAGGCCATCTGATTTTTCCCCCTTGTATAGAATTTGATAAAGGTCTGTATGAGACAGAGAAGGCTCTGCTGGAAACCTATGGCTTTGTCTCTCAAGCGAAAGTGCAAAAGTTCATCAGTAAATTTTGGGTCAGCATCTTCTGGGTATGCTTCCATCAACAGTTCAACACCTTACTGAATTTCTTGCTTAGATACTATCAGAATAGCAAGAATGAAAAAAATGTACTGTCGGAGCTTGCAGTTACAAATGGCGAAGTTTAGCATAAAATATAGACACAGAGAGCCAGCAATATTTTCATGATGGTAGGAGCAGCTCCCTTCGGACTTCCCTCTCCTCCGGTCACCTTTTTTATTATCCTTTGTCTCTCTCCAGCCGCATGGCTGTTTGCCAATGTCTCATGTTACCTCATCCGGTCAAGGCTTTAACCCACCCACAAACCATATAAGGTTAATACATTCCAATACATTGTAAAGCTCAGAGTGCTGGTCAGCCGAGGTCAGGGGGCACCCTGCAATATTACAAGCCTTCGCCGTGGCTTTATGACTCCCACAATGTACATCACTGTACACAGTACTTTTTAAAATTGGCTTTAAGTGCAACTTATATAGGAATAAAGGATTTTATCTTAAACCTATCTCTTTAAGAAAGTGCATCTAAGCCTAAGGCATCAGGAGCACTTCAGTCATTTCTTTACCATTCCCTCACTCTTTGTCTCCTTGTTTTGTAGTTAACATTTGGCAAGGTGGCTTTTGCTTGTTTCTCAAGCTCATCAAATTCTCTAATTTTCCTTAAAAAATCCAGAGGTGAACTGTACAAACTTGCACAAGAACTCAATAACAGGCCTGATTTCTGAAGGGCTTTGCTGACCTTGTGAAAATGACCTACACACAGATTTATATCTCTAAGATTCTGCAGATTTTGGCTGTGAACTAGAGCCCCACAAAAAAAATTCAATTTGGGCCCCAGAGTTTCAAATAGGGCTCCACTGGCTGGCCCCGAGTCTCATAGGTGCTGGGCCCAAGTTGCCCTGCCCTCACATGAAGTCTTGGGTTTACAATTTGGTGAGAGGGGAGACTGCCCGCTGAGGCCCCCTAGATTTAGATGACCTAGGCTTCAGCCTACTTGGCCTATACTGCAGACAAGCCTTACTAATTTACTTTTTGGGCCACACAAGACATCTGAAGGCAGCCCTGTTTCGGGAAGCTTTTAATGGTTAATAGATTATTGTATTTTAATATTCTGTTGGAAGCCGCCCAGAGTGGCTGGGTATATTTATTATTATTATTATTATTATTATTATTATTATTACAGCATTACCTTTCAGGGGGTGTACTGAGAAAGGTGACGAGGACTGATTTTGCAGTCATTCAGGGGAGTTTCATTTCCGAGGGTGCTGGAGACTTGAAATCAAGCCACAATTCAACTCAGCAGCAAGCTACACCCCCACTGTACAGCATTATTTTTTTTATTATTTTACTTTCCACAAAACAAGATTCCACAATTAACATTGAAAACACGTGCCCCCCCCTTCATATGTATATCTTTATCCTTTCATCATTATCTCTACTGAGATTCTTAAAATCTTCAAGCTTCCCCCCATTCCCACTTCTGGTTCCTTATATACACCAAATTCTTCTGCATATCCATATCTACTATTAATCCATTATTATATCCTAAATTATCCAAATTTCTGGTAATTGCAAGCGTTTAGTCCAAAGCTGCTAATGTTTCAACTTGTTTAGTGTTCTTTGCACATATACAATAAATGTTTCCCACTCTTTTTTGAATTTCTCATTATCATGGTCTCTGAGCTTTGTTGTTAGTTTCACCATCTCTGCATAGTCCATAAGTTTGATTCGCCATTCTTCAAAGTTTCTTCCTTCCATCTTTGAACTAACAGGATCTGGGCCGCTGTTGTAGCATACATGAGTATCTTCTGTTCTTTGGGTAGTTCAGCATCTATTAAACCTATTAAGAAAGCTTCTGGTTTTTAAACAAAGGTCATTTTAAACATTTTTTTCTGTTCATTATAAATCCTTTCCCAGAAATTTTTAATAATTCTCCAACTGATGAAGTGTGCATGCACACAAAATAATATACCCAGAACAAACTTAGTTGGTCTCTAAGGTGCTACTGGACAATTTTTTATTTTTTAAAAATGAAACCAGACTTTCAAAAATCCCTCCGATCAAAGTCTGCCTTGCCAAACTCACAAGTATTTCCAGGTACTCACTCCACTTAATGGGTGTTCTCCTGCAGACATCGGGTTTCTTGGATGCAAGGTCATGTTCACAATTATAAATCCAATAAGAAATGAGAATGGGTTTGGGTTGCTTTTAATCTAACTTTCCCATCAGCAAGCTGCTGTCCATTTATATCAAATAAGCTGGTAACTTTCCCACTTACAAACTTTCCCAATGCAGTGGCTATTACCTAGGAGATGGGGACGAACCTCCTTTTTATTTCTCTGTCTGGTGCCGAATTTAGTCGAATACAATCTTTTATAAAATCTTCTTTACCTTCCCATCAGCTGTAAGTAGTTTTGGGAAATCTCTGCTTCAGCCTAGAGTGGAGGCTTGTCTCCCACGGAGCTGCGCTGCTGCCAGGACCACTGGTTCCGTCACTGCTCCCCACACCCACTCTCCGTGCCTTTCAGCAGAGGAATCGAGGGCAGCTGGAGAAGCTTTTGCGGGCTGCTGGACCGTCCACACCTGGAGAACCCTCTCAGGGTTTTTTGCGCACTCTGCCTTAGTGCTTCTCCCTGTTGCTCCATGGGGCTCAAGTGTGTCAGAGCGATCAGACTCGCACTCCGACCGCCATCTGCAGAAACCAGAAGTCTCCCACTGTACAGCATTTTAAATGTTTATGGGAGAGGTGGTGTTGCTGTGTTGTTTTTCTTTTACCTATTTATTCATGCTTTTACCTTGTATTTTATTTTGTGAACCACCCTGAGATTTTGTGATGAAGGGCAGTATGTAAATTTAAAAAATAATAATGCCTCCTAAAATTAAATCTCTACACAAACACTACTAGTTTTCCTCCATCGTGAGTTTTTTGATGGGAAGTGAGGCTGCTCTTATGTCTGAAGCTTTTTCCACACTCTTGGCACTGAAATGGTTTCTCCCCTGTATGAATTATTCGATGGGAAGCGAGATGGTAGCTGTGACTGAAGCTCTTTCCACATTCCAAGCACTGATAGGGTTTCTGCCCTGTATGAATTCTTTGATGGGCAGTGAGACCTTCTTTCCAGGTGAAGCTCTTTCCACATTCCAAGCACTGAAATGGTTTCTCCCCTGTATGAATTCTTTGATGGTAAGTGAAACTATCCTTTCGACTGAAGCCCTTTCCACATTCCAAGCACTGATAGGGTTTCTCCCCTGTATGAATTCTTTGATGGGAAGTGAGATTTTCTTTCCTAGTGAAGCTCTTTCCACATTCCAAGCACAGATAGGGTTTCTCCCCTGTATGAATTCTTTGATGGGAAGTGAGATTTTCTTTCCAGGTGAAGCTCTTTCCACACTCCAAGCACTGATAGGGTTTCGCCCCTGTATGAACTCTTTGATGGGAAGTGAGATTGGTCCTCTGACTGAAGCTCTTTCCACATTCCCAACAACAATGTGGTTTCTCCCCTGTATGAATTCTTTGATGGGAAGCTAAAGTCTGTTTCCAGATGAAGCTCTTTCCACACTCTAAGCACTGATAAGGTTTCTCTCCTGTATGATGTGATTTGTGGGAAGTGAGACTGTCCTTTCGACTGAAGCTCTTTCCACATTCCAAACAACAATATGGTTTCTCTCCTGTATGAATTCTTTGATGGGAAGCGAAACTCTTTTTCCAGGTGAAGCTCTTTCCACACTCCAAGCACTGATAGGGTTTCTTCTCAAGGGGATTTATTTGATGGGAAGAGGAATGGGAGCTCTGACTGAAGCTCTCTCCACAGTCTGAATACTGATATGGCTCCTCCACTGTATGGATTTCATTGTGGTCTCCCTTGTTCTTCATTTCCAATTCATCAATACCTGAAACTAAGAGGCAAACATATTAGAGGCTTGGGAAGAAGTGCAGCTCAAAATTATGGAGGAATGCTAATTAAGGCTTGTGACAGGGAAAGAACTGAAGGGAGTTAGATGTTATAATGTTCATTTTGTTCTGTAAAAATGTCTAGTTTCATATACAAATCAAATATTGGCTGTTTTCTCTCACTTAAGTTTTTAAAAGATTAACACAGCTTAACAGTAACATCAATTTGTTCAAATTTAAATATGGATCTGTACTACGTTCATAAATAAGGTGTTCTTTTATTATTATTTAAATGATGGACAATGAAGGAATGTTCCCTGTCCAAAATTAAGATATATTCAATATGCTCAATTGTTCAATATGCAGTAATAAATCTAAACAAATTTTAAGAGCTGGTGAAATATTTGGGAACACTGAAACTGGACAGGCATGGTCTTAGTCAGCTGCCTTGTAGTGAGCAATGTAAGAGTAGGGGAACAAAAATGGAAAGCATATGGACTTCTGTGTGCTGAAAAACACTCTTTGTGTATTGAACAAATGTGTGTAGCAGCTGCCAAATTAAACTTCTTCAGTGGCTAAAAAATATAATTATGATGTGCATCACGTAAAAGCAATTTGGATGTTTTCTTAAATTCTTGACATCACAGCATGCAGCAGAAACTTGTCACATTGGCATTATTATTACTCAAGTGCCCTTACTTAAATGTTACATTACTGCAAGAAGTTACAGGGGACGAGGCAGGGGGCCTTCTCGGTAGGGGCACCCACCCTGTGGAACGCCCTCCCATCAGATGTCAAGGAGATAACTATGCAACTTTTAGAGGACTTCTGAAGGCACCTCTGTATCGGGAATTTTTAAAAGTTTGATGTTTCATTATGTTTTTATATTTTTTGGAAGCTGCCCAGAGTGGCTGGGGCATCCCAGGGAGATGGGCAGGGTAAAAATAACAAAATTATCATTATTGTTACTACAGGGTTCACCGCCTGAGATTCAAAAGGCCTGGCTCTCCTCCCTCCTCTCCATCTCAGAGGCAGGGCTTTCTGTCTCATCTCAAGGACTGCCAAAACGCCCAAAAAAGCCTCTTGACTTCCACCCAAACAGTCCACATCAATCCTAAGTATCTCCTGTTCTGATTTCCATTTTTTGGTCTCCCATTCCAGCTTTTTAGATTTTTCCTCCCTTCCTTTCATGTAGACATCAAGTGCTTCTGTTTTCTTTGTCAGTCTCTCTACTTTAGTGGTAAAATTTGTCACCATTTCACTATTTCTATCAATTCGGGCTAATAGCTTCTCTTTTTTTTTAAAAAAAAATGATATTTATTAAAAGTTTAAAAATTACAGAAAAAGGGAAAAAAACAATAAGAGATAAAAAATAAAAATAAAAAAGACATACAAAAGCGATACAATACAGAAAAAAAGAAAAACAAAAAAGAAACTAAAACAGAGATCCAATATTCCATAGCTTTACCTTTCCTTTACTTGTTTCATCGACCTCCTCACACCTCCCTTTTTTTGTATTCTAGTTCAATTCACTATTTCAGCAAATTCTTCCCATCTTTCTCAATTTTTATTCTATAATTTATCTTAACGGTCTAACCTTGAATTTTTTCATTTTAACCCATTATCAATCAGCTTTTACTTAATTCTTTGTTGCATTTCTACTAAAACCATATAGCTTCATTCCAGCACCCTTCTAACACTCATTAATTTTACAATGTTTCTGTAAGTATACTTTAAATTTTTTCCAATCTTCTTCCACCGACTCTTCTCCCTGGTCTCGGATTCTGCCAGTCATTTCCGCCAGTTCCATGTAGTCCATCAGCTTCATCTGCCATTCTTCCCTGGTGGGTAGATCTTGTGTCTTCCAGTACTTTGCAATAAGTATTCTTGCTGCTGTTGTAGCGTACATAAAGAAAGTTCTATCCTTCCTTGGCACCAATTGGCCGACCATGCCCAGGAGAAAGGCCTCTGGTTTCTTCAGGAAGGTATATTTAAATACCTTTTTCATTTCATTATAGATCATCTCCCAGAATGCCTTAATCTTTGGGCATGTCCACCAAAGGGGAAAGAATGTACCTTCAGTTTCATTACATTTCCAACATTTATTATCGGGCAAGTGATAGATTTTTGCAAGCTTGACTGGTGTTATGTACCACCTATAAATCATTTTCATTAAATTCTCTTTTAAGGCATTACATGCCATAAACTTCATACCAGTGGTCCATAACTGTTCCCAGTCGGCCATCATAATATTATGTCCAACATCTTGTGCCCATTTAATCATAGCAGATTTCACCATTTCATCTTGAGTATTCCATTTCAACAGCAAGTTATACATTCTTGACAAATTCTTAACTTTAGGGCGGGCTAATAGCTTCTCCAACTTTTCCTTCATCTCTTTAGTCCGGTATTTTTTTAAGTCAGCAAAAAGTTCCACCAATTCAGATGGGGACCTGTCCCCTGGGTCTTGCTCTGAAGATCTTCTACTCAGGCCTGGTGTTAACTGTTTTTTAACTGCCATAGTCAAAATCTCACTCTCCCTTTTCCAGCAACCCCTTATCAGTTTCTCAAGGCCACAGAATAACTCTTTCCTAAGAGATCCTGTTTCCTGTATTTTTCCAGCCCTCCCTCTTCCATCCAGCCTGATACCCAGAACACATAAGCTGTTTAACATAAAATCCAATTTCTCAAATTAAGATTCGAATTAACCAAATAATTACTTTAAGAGAGGAACCACAAGAAAGAAAAAAGAAACAATGTGTCCAAGAGGACACAGCAATTTAGATGTCCAGAGAAGAGTGGTTGTGTTGCAGTAATCCAATTCTCTTTAACTGTCTCACAGTAGAAGACATATTTTCCTTCGAAGAGAAGCAAACTTGTCCAAACCTGTCCTGCTATTAGCTTTTTTAGCCAACTGTCAGTCCTTTTAAGAGCTCAAATGGTTTTTTAAAGAACTTTAAAGATGAGACCAGATTTTCATAAATCCCTCCAATCACTCTTGGCACTGAAATGGTTGCTACCCTGTGTGAATTCTCTGATGGGAAGTGAGATTGTTGCTTTGACTGAAGCGCTTTCCACGTTCCACGCACTGATATGGTTTCTCCCCTGTATGGATTTTTTGATGGGCTGTGAGACTTTCTTTCCTGGTGAAGCTCTTTCCACATTCCAGGCACTGATAGGGGTTTTCCCCTGTATGAATTCTTTGATGGGAAGTGAAACTTATTTTCCAGGTGAAGCTCTTTCCACATTCCAAGCACTGATAGGGTTTCTCCCCTGTATGAATTCTTTGATGGGAAGTGAGTTTGGCGCTGTTAATGAATCTCTTTCCACATTCCACACACTGATACGGTTTTTCCCCTGTATGGATTATTTTATGGGAAGCTAAACTCAGTTTCCAGTTGAAGCTCTTTCCACATTCCAAGCACTTAAAGGGTTTCTCCCTTGCATGAACTCTTTGATGGGAAGTGAGACTTTCTTCCTGGTGAAGCTCTTTCCACATTCCAGGCACTGATAGAGGTCTTCCCCTGTATGAATTCTTTGGTGGGAAGTGAAACTTATTTTCCAGGTGAAGCTCTTTCCACATTCCAAGCACTTAAAGGGTTTCTCCCTTGCATGAACTCTTGGATGGAAAGTGAGACTTTCTTTCCAAGTAAAGCTCTTTCCACATTCCACTTAAAGGGTTTATCTCCTGTATGAATTATTTGATGGGAAGTAAGATCTGAGTTCCTCCTGAAGCTCTTTCCACATTCCAAGCACTGATAGGGTTTCTCCCCTGTATGAATTCTTTGATGGGAAGTGAGATTTTCTTTCCTGTTGAAGCTCTTTCCACATTCCAAACATTGATATGGTTTCTCACATGTATGAATTCTTTGATGGGAAGTGAAGCACTCTTTTCGACTGAAGCTCTTTCCACACACCACACACTGATAGGGTTTCTCCCCTGCATGAATTCTTTGATGGGAAGTGAGATTTTCTTTCCTGGTGAAGCTATTTCCACATTCCAAGCACTGATAAGGTTTCTCTCCTGTATGAATTTTTGATGGGAGGTGAGATGGGCCCTGTGACTGAAGCTCTTTCCACATTCCAAGCACTGATAGGGCTTCTTCTCAAGGGGATTTCTTTGATGGGAAGAGGAATGGGAGCTCTGACTGAAGCTCTCTCCACAGTCTGAATCCTGATATGGCTCCTCCACTGTGTGGAATTCATTGTGCTCTCCCTTGTTCTTCATTTCCAATTTATCACCACCTGAAACTCAGAGGCAAACGGATTAGAGTCCAGGGAAGAAGTGCAGCTCAAAATTATGGAGCAATGCTCATTAAGGTTTGTGACAGGGAAAGAACTGAAGGGAGTTAGATGTTATAATGTTCATTTTGTTCGGTAAAAATGTCTACTTTCATAAAATAATCAAGTTGAATATTAGATGTTTTCTCTAACTATTTTAGCTTAACTTGGTAGCATCTTTTTGTTCAAATTTAAATATGGATCTGTACTATCTTCATGAATAAAATGTACTTTTAATATTATTTAAATGGTGGCCAATGCTGGAAAGTTCCCTGTCCAAAATTAAGATATATTTAATATGCTAAGTTGTTCAATATGCAGTAATTATTTAAAAATAATTTTTATTGGTTTTCTTTTTCTCGTAACAAATATTCACTATCAATAACATTCATTTTCCAGTTTCTCCCCACTCTGTTGACTTCCCTCAGCTTCCATTTCTGGTTTATTACCTCATATATTACATTCTGCTATTTGTATAAAATAATATTTTGTCACACTGTAAAATTTCTTGTTCTCTATCAATAAAGCTGTAAACTGCCAACGAGTCCATTTTTTTTGTTTTGTTTCTGTAGGAATGTTGTAAATGGTTCCCATACGTTTTCAAAGTCACTACTGTCCTTTTCACGCAGTTCAATATGCAGTAATAAATCTAAACAAATTTTAAGAGCTGGTGAAATATTTGGGAACACTGACACTGGACAGGCACGGTCTAAGTCAGCTGCCTTGTAGTGGGCGATGTAAGAGTAGGGGAACAAAAATGGAAAGCATATGGACTTCTGTGTGCTGAAAAACACTCTTTGTGTATTGAACAAATGTGTGTAGCAGCTGCCAAATTTAAACTTCTTCAGTGGCTAAAAAATATTATGATGTGCATCACATTAAAGCAATTTGGATGTTTTCTTAAATTCTTGACATCACAGCATGCAGCAGAAACTTGTGATATCGGCATTATTATGACTCAAGTGCCCTTACTTAAATGTTACATTCCTGCAAGAAGTTACAGGGGACGAGGCAGGGGGCCTTCTCGGTAGGGGCACCCACCCTGTGGAACGCCCTCCCATCAGATGTCAAGGAGATAACTATGCAACTTAGAGGACTTCTGAAGGCACCTCTGTATGGGGAATTTTTAAATGTTTGATGTTCAATGCCTGAGATTCAAAAGCCTGGCTCTTTTCTGGGATGGAGTTTGTTTGGTCCAGTTGTGGAATCTGTGCCATCTCCAATGTCAGTCGACTCTTTGGTCAACCAAAGAGAGACACAAAACAAGAACAGAAGCAAAAAACTTGACTGAAGCTACTTTAACACCTCAAATCACTCTGAAGCCTACATTTAAGAAGGCCTGGGCAGTTCAGACATCCTGGTCAGGGTTTTAAAAGGCAGAACTGGAGAAAGAATATTCACAGGGAAAACAATCAATAGCCATCCATCCAAGGTTTGCTGTGGGAGTGTTAGCATCCCAGGTGCTGTGGGTAGTGCTGTTGAGCCCCATCAAAATATCAGAGGTTCATCACCTAGATATATATCTTGAATTACAAAACAGATAGGATGAACCAATAGGGAGCCTTACTGAGAGAGTCCCACATCCCACGATTCTCCTCCATGACCTCCTGATGCAGAGCTCTCTGGTCAGGATCCAGCAATGCCCACTCCTCATCTGTGATATAGACAGCTACATCTTCAAAGCAAACTGTATCCTAACAGAAAAGGAAAAAGAGAACATTAGAGAACATTCACGTGATCCATTACACTTGGCTCTGTTGTTGTCTACAGCGGCCAAACCCCTCTCTGCCTTCCTCATCCCTCTCTCCTGCTGCAGCTTCTGCCTCGGAGTCTGGGCTGCTCTCTGCCACAGACTCCCTCTGCTCCCTGAGCCCTCTTCCCTCTCCAGCTTCAGACACCTCCTCCTCCTCCTCCCAGTCGGCTCCCTCTTCTCTGGCTCCTCCCACCATTCCTCTGCATCCAACTGTGTCCAGCCAGTCTGCATCCAAGCAGTCCTTCCCCGGAAGGCTCCTTCCCCCCTACCTGATCTGGGTCCACAGCTGCTGCCTCCCCTCCACCACCATGAAAAGATGAAGGAGCAGGTCTTGGTGGCATCATTCCGTCACCTGGGAGAGACCAAGGAAAGTGGAAACCGTGAGCGCCTGCTTCTCTCAGAGGTGAAACAGTGCATCTCTAAGTACAGATGGGGCTTGTCCAAGTCTCCCCTGCTAGCCTCCGGTTCCGCTCTGCCTTAATGGGGCAGTGGGAGATCGTTGGCAAAGGAAAAACAAGGATGATTGAGGGTAATTCTCCTCGCAAGTTCCCCCAGGGACAGGGGGAACGGGCTTCACTCCCAGTTCGTCTCAGTACCTGGCTCTCGCTCCGGCATGGGTTGTGGGAGGCAGGGAGGCGCTGAGTGCGAAAGCCCTTCGCCTGCTGAAAACCCTCCTTCGTAGCCATTAAGGAGCAGAGGTTTTCCTGTCAATTAGAGCTCAATTTGGACTAATGTACAGATGTTGCTGGAAGGGATGAGATCATAAACTGTGGGACTGAAACAGCTGCAAGGTCTTTAAGGGTTGAATTTGAGAGAAGACTTCATTTGGTGCAAAAGATGTGGGGGGGGGGGGAGGGAAGCCTACGGATTCTTTATATAAAGTTTTCTTCTCTACATTTATGATTTGGCAACCCACCATTGAATGATAGTTCAAATTATATATGTACAGGTGTGCAGGGATGAAACTGGATTGCAGATATGGAATATAACATCAAATGGAACTTTGTGTGTAAAAAAAAGGAAAAAGGGAGGGAAGCTCTATTTTACAAAATGTTTACGATGGAAAATTAGAGCTGACTCTTCCCCATCCTTTATTATTTATGGACTGAACTGAATAATGCTAAAAGGACTTGGAATTTAATTTAATTGGATAACTGCGTTTATATTCGGCCAGATAGAGGGATGTAAGCAATCTGCAAGTTGTGAAGGAGCTGATAAAATTCATTACTGAATCATTTGCAGTTCGACAGATCCCTCTCCTTCCCAGGGAGAGAAGAAAAGTGGCAAAAACAGGTTATTTATTGGGACCGTGTGATTTTTGCAGCTGCTGTTAAAGTTGCCAAACAATGAAGCATGGGACGGAGCAATGGAGAATTTCTGAAACCACAATGGGATATTAGCTCTGCCCAAGAAATGATGGAGAACAGCAACAACCAGGAAAAGATAGACAGAACATTTTACAAGGACAGGAAGAAACATCATGAACAGAAAGATTGCCACACACGGGAAGAATAAGGATATAGCTGGAGTGCCTCACTTGTAGTTTTATATATTATTTGATGTTTCCATACGAATGGAAGTCATTAATACTGCAGTTGTTGTATAAATGATTGTTATCTTGACTGGAGTGTAATTGAAATTAATAAGATTTTGGAATGCAGAAATAAAGAAAATCATCAAACCATCGGTATTGGCGGGGGGGCGGGTGTCCCACCTAAATTATATAATATGGTATCTGAATGATTGGTATTAGTAATTGTATTGTAATTTGGCATTGTTATAATGAGGCTATTATAGGACTGTAATTGAAAACTAATAAAAATTACTATTGTAAAAGTCTCCCCTGCTGAATACATTTGGACATTTGTACCCATTTCATATATTGGTTGTGCAAAAATACATCTCCCCCCCCCCCCGAGCTCTGGACTCCAAGTGTCTTCACCCAAAAGATGTAAAGAACTCACAGATACGGTAAGTTTCAAAACCAAGAGAATGTGACAAAACGGGAGAGAAAACACTCCTTCCTCCTTACCCAGAGGCCTCACTCTGGCGTCCAGCGGAGTCTTCTCTGCCTCAGAAGAATCAAGACCCATTTCTGCAAAAAGATTCTTCCTCTGAAAGAGCAACATGGATTCAAAACAGAGAATGGGGAGAAGGATTAGAAAAGGAATGGCAGAGGCAAGCGCTTTCGGGGGACAGAGGTGAAAGCTGTTTCCTGCTTCTGCTAGACTGGTGTCTGGGACTGGCTGCCAGGACCATGAAACATTGGTCCTCAAGGATCTTCACTGGCTCCCAGAATGTTTCCAAGCACAATTCAAAGTGTTGGCGCTGAACTTCAAAGCCCTAAACGGCCTCAAATGCCCAGTATACCCACAGGAGCGTCTCCACCCCCTTCGTTCAACCCGGACCCTGAGGTGCAGCTCTGAGGGTCTTCTGCTGGTTCCCTCTCTGCAACAAGCAAAGTTACAGGGAACCAGGGAGGACCTTCTCGGTAGTGGTGCCTGCCCTGTGGAATGCCCTCCCATCAGATGTCAAGGCAATAAGCAACTACCTTACTTTTAAAAGACATCCGAAAGCAGTCCTGTTTAGGGATATTTTTAATGTTTAATGCTGTATTGTGTTTCTAATATTTGGTTGGAAGCCACCCAGAGTAGCTAGGGAAACCCAGCCAGATAGGCGGGATATAAACAATAAATTATCATCATCATCATCACCATCATCATTATTACAGGGAACAAGGCAGTGGACCTTCTCGACAGTGGCACCCACCCTGTGGAATACTCTCCCATCAGATGATAAGGAGATAAAGAACTGCATAACTTTTAGAAGACATCTGATGTCTTATTATGCTTTTCTATGTGCTGGAAGAAACCCAGCCACATGGGTGTGGTATTAAACTAACAACAACAACAACAATAGCAGTAGCAGTAGATTTCCAAAAAAGGATGGGCCATTAGTAAATAATTTGGCATACTCTCCCTCCTCTTTGGAGCCCCTTGGGAGTATCCAGAGGAAAGTCTCTCTCACCTGCCGTTCTGCCTGCTTTTTCTCCTCTGTCTGACTCAGGAGGAAACCTTCGGCCAGGGCCACTGCCTGGGAACTGGTCTCCGCTCCGCATTCCCTCACCCAGCTCTCCATCTCCAGGGGAAGGACAGCCAGGAACTGCTCCAAGATCACCAGGTCCAACACCTGAGCTTTCATGTGCCTTTCTGGCTTCAGCCACTGGTGGCAAAAGTGGTAGAGTTGGCTGCAAACCTCTCGGGGTCCTTTGGCCTCCTGGTAGCAGAACTGCCTGAGCTGCTGGCTCTGCACAGCTGAGTGGAGGGTGTCCTCCTCAACCAGGATCTTCTGCATAGAGTTTTCACAGAATCCCCCACTGCTCCCCGTTTCCATGGCATGGCCTCTTCCTGCTTCAGCGCCAGCTGAGTCTTGCTCATCCATCTGTGTTCCCAGGAAGTCTCCAAGAGATCGGAAGGAGCCCCTTGGTCCTCTGCCAAGTTCTAATGCAAGGTGCAACAAATCCTACGAATCAAACACAGTCTTCTATTATAAGATCAATACACAGCCAAGAGAAGAAGAATGTTACCTGAGCAAGCGTGGGGAAAGGAGGAGGAGGAAGACATCATAACTGTGAATGACAAGTGAGTCATTTGTATCCCAACCCCACTTCATAGTCCAGAGCTTCACCCCAATCCAGCCATATCTGCTTGGGTGGCCTTGGTAAGCAGGAGGGCCCATGTCTAGCTCCAGCCACTGTCCCTTTGGCACAGACAGGATGTGGCCATGGGACTTCCGGCTCTGGATCCAATGGGATGGTTGCAAGACCCTCTGGGTGGAACTGCCCCGGAAGACGCCTCGGAAACTGGCCCCAAATGCAGCGGTTGGGTTCTCAACTGGATTCCCTGTTTTACTAATGGCATTTCTATCCCACCTTTTTCTCCAACAGGCTCCAGGTGGTGTCAGGGACTGGACCGAAGAGGAATGGTGGAGATCACCTTCCCTCCTCCTGAACCTTCCCGAGAAGAGGAGGACAGTATAGATTTACAACACTGGTTTGCAGAAGGTCATAGTTCAGAGGCTGCAGAGGGGAGAAGCTGGGAAATATTGGGAGAGCAGCAGGAGGAAGAGGCAGCAGCACCAGGGGAGAGACAGCTGACAGACTCCGTGTCTTCAGAAAGCATTCCTGACCCTCCTTCTCCCAGGACCAAGCGTGCATTGAGAGTGCATTAAGAGAACAGGAAGCTCAGAGGCAGAAAGCACAGATCAGCCGACGCAGGGATGACGTAGAAGAGGAGAGACAGGTGGGACTTTGCTCAGAACAATGCCATTACTGCAATGGAGAGGCGCTTTTAAAAGTCTCTCTCTGTAAATATTGAATAAAGGACTCAGTAGGAACTCTTCTTGTTATTGACTTTTTGGTAGGCCATGGGGGAGGGATGGGATTCCCTGAAGCCTCACAGGTGGCATCTACCCCTCCTCATTGAAGACTCACGAAAATCCTTTGGCATACATGTAATTCCTGTTTTAAAATACCTGCATTGGTTGCCAGTTCATTTCTGGGCCTAAGTTCATCAACAGACCTACACTTTATATTATTTAATTGGCAATGGAAGAGGAGAAAGGCCCATGACTCACTCTTAATCTAAGCACAACCACAAGGGCTTTGCCATGTGGAATGCTCTCTGTTCTCTGCTCACTATGTTCTATCCTGCATTTTTGGTTGTATTCAAACCAATTCATTAACCCTCTGCCAAGCAAGATGGCTTCCTCCAAAGAGTCTTGGGAACCGTAGTTTGTTAAGGATGCTCACAGTTCTTAAGAGACACCATCCAGCTGCCACACTAGATCCTAAAAAAGTATTGAAAAGCTTTGAAAACACACAATTAATTTAGGTTCTCTCCCCCCCCCCACCAGCAGATGCTTTGGCTGCCCCCCCCCGGAAATCCTGGCTACGCCCATGGCCTCCATCCTCCTTGTCAGCGGGTCCCCTAGCAACTCTCATCACTCAAGGGTGGGGGTTGCCTCTTTCGCGCCCACCCTCCGCTTGCTTCCTTTCCAGGAGGGCCTCTCCTGCCTTGGATTCCTGGGGCATTCAATGACCAGCTCCAGTCAGCATTCCCTAATATAGAAGCAATTCTGAGAATGTTCATTTGAATGATGAATGCAAATTGCCATGGAGAAAGATCCTTTTCTCAGCTGAAGAGGATAAAAAATGAATTTAGAACAACAAAGTTTCAAGATAAATTATGTTACCTCAGCATCATGTGCACAGAAAATGACAAGCTATGCAGTTTATCGTTTGATGATATCATCAGTGATTTTGCTTTGGCAAAAGCAAGCAAAGTACTGGAATTTAGATCATGTTTGTGTACTGTTTGAATCCACAGTATACAATGAATCATGATAAAATTATACAGCTGAATGGGTATTGGGTAGATGCATTAATATAATTAGTCCTGTTTAATAATTTTTTGATGTACAGGCAGATATAGTATCGGTATTATTTATGAATGTGATATATTACTAGAAATACTGTCATTTACACTCAGTAAGTGTAACAGGGTACAAAAGTCTGCTGTCCCAATGAACAGTGTGGACTACTATGGTGATACTGCATTGATATTATATAAAAACACATTGTATTAACTACAATTGCACTGTACAGGTTATAACACTTAATTTCATATTAATAAAGCTATTTATATATTTACACCTCTTATTTCATGTTATCACAAGTTTCTAGAGACTTGATTATGAGTCTTTGTAAATTGTGTTTCTGAAGGAATTTTTGTTATTGCCCTATGCCAATGTGTTTGCATTATGAAGAAAAATCATTTTAAGTTAGAGCTTAATGATGATTTCACTATTAATATACTTCTTCATTGTATTTCACTATTAATATACTTCCTCACTGTATTTCAGTTCAACAGTGACTTTGATAAAATACATATTTTGCTAAGTGCAAATGGCTTGAGATACCTATGAGGTCCGTAAATTACCATCTTGCAGATATTCAGTACAAAAAACAGCGACCATTTGCTGTGGCCCCAGAACTGCTGGAGCGAGACAGGGCCCCAGTACCTTCCTCCGACCTCAACCCGGCCCTGTTTGGGGGCCCCTGGCTCCTGGGGGAGGGAGTTCCACAGGTTTCCCAGCAGCCCCCCACGCCCCCCCTTCTCCCCAAGGCGGAACAGAGAGGAGACCCACCAAAGGCCTGCAGGCGAGGGCGAGGCCGCTCTCCACGAGGAGACCCTCTTGCAGGAAGTGACCTAAGGGGAGCTGTCCCCGCTTTCATTTCCTGTCCTCTCTAGGAAGCCAACTCGGCGCCACTTAACCCTTGGCGAGCGGGGCGCGGAGGAGCGCCGGGCGTTGCGCAGGCGCAGAGCTGCTCCCTCCCTGGGGAAGAGGCCGCGCTCGGGCCCGCCTGGCCCCGGAATGGGTGGGGGGTCCTTGGTGGGGACTGGGCCGAGAGGAGGGGCGCCTGGCGGGGAAAGGGGAGCCCGTCTGTCTGCCTGGGGCTCCGGGGCTGGGAAGGGGCGTCCGGGCGGGGGAACGGGGAGCCTTCGAGGGGAGGGCTTGTGGGGGGCGCAGGAGCCCGGGCGAAGGGACCAGATCGGGGGACCCGGGGTGGGCGAGTCCCGCCTGGCTCTCTTGGGGACCCCTGGGCAGCTCTGGTGGGGGCTGCAGGGCAGAGAGCCCTGTCCCAGCAAGAGGGGGTCCCCGGGGGCTGAAAGAGCAGCTGGAGGGGGGAGACATGCTTCAGAGACATTGCATGCAAATGTATGTGTTCCGCTTGCTTGTGTATTCTGTATTGTAGCAGATGTTGCTTTGTTCCTATATTTCAGCAATATCATATGTTCTTATCTGTTAGTGAAGTTGCCTTTGAAACAACACAGAAGCAGTCAAGGGGATTTTCCTAGGAAAACATTTTATTCCACCTCTGGTGACATTGTGTGTTCTGAACACACTGACATTCTTATAAGTTTGTGGGTGCCAAATGGCCCAAAATTCCTGGATTCCATAAGTGTTGACATTTGATTTAGAGTTGGGTTTGCCAAAACTGGTTTCCAGACCCATGTTTATTAAACTGTGTGTTAGACACTTCCAATCCTCTGGAATCAGCATGTCTTCAAAGCTCCTTCAACCAGGCAAGTTTGCCATGAAGTTAGAGGCTGGGGTCATGGGCTGTTCAGAGAACAAAGGGACTTGGTAGGAGAGGCAAAGGTGAGAGGGCCCTCTTCTTCCGCAGGTGAAGCCAGGTGAGCTGCAGAGCTTAGGAGTTATGGGATGGAGAAGCAGCAGGCAGAGCAGGATGTTTGAGGTTTGTTTGAATCCCCCAGCCGCCCCTGATCTCCTTTGCCCCAGACCTGGCCGTGTCTGGGTAGTGAGAGGGAGAGAGAAGGGAGACTGCAGAGGGACAGGAGCCAGGGTGGGGCAGTGGTTAGAGTGTCGGACGGGGACCTGGGAGACAAGAGTTCAAATCCCCTTTGGGGGGCCAGTAGCTGCCTCTCAGTGTCACCCACCTCACAGGGCTGTTGTGGGGATTAAATGGGGAATGCATATGGCACCTGGAGCCCCCTGGAGAAAACAGTGGGATGTAACTGCCATGGAATCAGGGACGCGGGTGGCGCTGTGGGTTAAACCACAGAGCCTAGGACTTGCTGATCAGAAGGTTGGCGGTTCGGATCCCCGCGACGGGGTGAGCTCCCGTTGCTCGGTCCCTGCTCCTGCCAACCTAGCAGTTCGAAAGCTCGTCAAAGTGCAAGTAGATGAATAGGTACCGCTCCGGCGGGAAGGTAAACGGCGTTTTCGTGCGCTGCTCTGGTTCGCCAGAAGCGGCTTAGTCATGCTGGCCACATGACCCGGAAGCTGTATGCCGGCTCCCTCGGCCAGTAAAGCGAGATGAGCGCCGCAACCCCAAAGTCGGCCACGACTGGACCTAATGGTCAGGGGTCCCTTTACCTTTACTAAATGCCATGGACAAACTAAGCGTCCGTTGTATATCAAGCAACAGGAAAAGACCACACAAAAAGCAATAACGTTAGTCCACAGATTAATTTTTATTCAAACCCAGAATAGAAAAAAGCAGCAGTAAGTACAGTGTCTCAAAGATACAGCGTAACATCTTTACCTTAAAAAAAGTAATTAAACATAACAATCGGCAAAGAGGCAGTTAAATGGAATTTTTTAGTGGCAAGGAAAAAAAGGAAGCCCATCACAGCAGGCCTGTGTTGTTAAAAGTTAGGACAACAGATTTTTGTACATCTCAAGAGCAATAAGAAAGTATTCCTTCCCACCTTTTGCTTGAGAAGCTAAGACACCCCCCCCCCACTGCCGCCCTGCCCCTTCCTGGCATGTAAACACCTGAACAAGGTCCCTGCACCCCCACCCCCCTCCCTCACTGACACACCTGAAAGTGCCCCTCCTTGGGGGGAACTCAGGAGATACTTTACATTTGTGGGTCTGGGATGAATTCATGGCTGTTTAAAATAAGGCAGAAGGTCAGTGGGTGGGTGGGTATAAGTCACAATTTAGCCCTTGTTCCTATCTCAGACCCCTTCCAAATTCAAGTAAAGTTGGGGACTGCTGATGAAACACCCCCCCATGAAGGAAATGCTGAGGAGTGGGAGAAGAAAGAGAAAACTCTGGAAGAGTTTGGCTCCAGGGTCCCTTGAGAGAGAGTTGGTTCTGACTCTGAGCAAAGAGGAAGGCAAGGGGGTCCTGCAAGAAGAAGAAGAAGAGGGGAAGACTCCATTTTACAGGGGTGAAGAAGAGGGATTGGGCTCCAGGTCAAGAGAGCACACTGGATCCTGGCACTGAAAAGAGCCCCCCCCCTTTGTGCCAAAAGTTAGTTCCAACTTGAAAACCACCTGAAACGCCCCCTAGTCCAGACCTCACAAGGGAACATTTTAGCTGCACTTCCTGCATTGCAGGGGGAGGGCCTAGATGACCCTTGGGGTCCCTTCAACTCGAGGATCTCAGACTCAGAAGAGCCACAGAAACACACAGGCCCGATATTGGGGGAGGGGGGCTGGCCCAGGAGGCCTTGCCAGGCCGGGGGGCACAGCACAATGGCTTCAGCCAGCCCTCCAGAACCAGCCCCCCTCAATGGGCTTTGCACTACAACTCCCAACCGGGCCTGCCAGCAGAAGGCAGGGGGGATGGAAACAGCCGTCCAAAAGGTCCAGCCAGCTCCAGAGGCGACCCAAGGCTGCTCTCCAACGGGGTGCTGCTCCAGGCATCTGAGTTGCCCAGCTCAAGGGAGCTGGCAGGACTAAGAACCGGGGTTCCTGAATTGCAGGGGTTGGACTAGATGAGCCTGGAGTGTCCTCTTCCAGGATTTCTCTTCTGGCTCCCAATGCCACGGCTGGAAATTTCCCGTGAAGCTGCCCCCCCTCTTTCACAAGAGGGGAGGAACTGTCTTTTTCCTGCGTCTTAAACTACCCTTTGACTGGCAACCATCTCCAATCTCCTTGCTGGACACTCCCAAGCAAAGATGCATTAGATTCTCCTTCCACCTTGTCCCCAATTCTTAAATTGGCTTTATTTCAAAACAGGGTGGGGGATAGAGATGGCTTAGTCTTCCTAACAACCCTTTTTCAATTAGTTAGTAGACAAGCTTCCCAGTGTAAGGAGAGGAAAGCAGACCTCTGAGCCCAGCCTGGCCCTCCACCAAATTCTGCCCGCATGCCTTGAGGCCCCAAGATGGGCGGAGGAAGGCCTGGAGGGCAGCTGCTGGCTGGGACTTTGATTGGGGCAGGGTGGGGGCACAGGGAGAGAAGCCTCTGAAGACAGGAAGACCGGCTAGGGGGTGGCACTGGGGGGATTTATTCACATTGGTTTTTTACAAAAAGAAACCACCACCCCCGGCTGTGAGGAGGGTGGCGCCTTCATGGTAGGCTTGCAAAAGCAGGTGGGAAGCCTCCAGTGACTGGGGGGCCTCTGATTGCTTCCCCCACTCCTTTGCCAAGGCCGGCGCCCCCTTGCGGTTAGTGCTAAGCATTACACAGGAAGTGGGGCGGGGTGCAGGAGGGCCCTAGGCAGCTGCCCCACTCACACAGTTGCCTCCCCTGCCTCTCCTCTGGCCCCCGCCACTCTGCCCTCCAAGACTTGCCCTTCATGCTCCCCAGAGAAGCCCACTGAGGGCAGCTTGATCCTCAAACTCCCCTCGCCCTGCTCGGAGCCCCCCTCCAGGCCCCCTTGAGCTTTGGGGCTCAGGGCCACCTTGGGAAACCCGGACTTTGGGGACCTCTCCCCCTTGGCGCCCATCTCAGCCGCTTCCAGAGAAGACATCTCCACCCGGGCAGCCGAGGAGACCACGGCCCCAGCATCCCCCTCCCCAGTGCGCTTCCTGAAGCCCGAGAAGGAGATCTTGGGCGACTTGAACTTGGCCGCCTTGAGGGCCGCCAAGGCTCCCCTGCCGGCCCCCAGGGCTTCGTCCTTGGCCTCCTCTGCCCGCACCAGCTCCAGGTTCAGCTCCAAGTCTGCTCCTGCCATCTTGGGCGGGGAGGAGAGCTCCACCTGTGGCAGGCGGATCTTGCCCAGCTTGGCCCCATTGTGCAGAGAGGCCCCCGCCTGCTCCCCATTGACTTGGGCACCCCCCTCGCCCTTGGAGAAGCCCAACTTGGGCACCTTCATCTTCAGGGGAGAGCCGTCCTCCAGCTCCCCATTGACTTGGGCACCGCCTCCTTTGGCCTTGGGTGAGAGGGAGAGCCCAAAGGTGGGGGGCTTCAGCTTCAGCTTGGCCATCACCCCCTTGCTGCCATCTGCCTCCTCCCCCTCCCCCTCTAGGAGCCCCTCCGCCCCTCTGCCCTTGGCCCGCCCCAGCCCAAACGTGGGCCTCTTGACCTTGGCCTCCCCCTCATGCCCAGGGGGTCCTTCCCCGCCTTCTGCTCCCCCTTTGGGTAGAGACAGCCCAAACTTGGGGATCTTCACCTTGTACCTCTTCCCTGCCTCCGCCTCAGGGGCCTCCCCGCTTCGGCCCCCCCTCAGCTCTTGGGAGCTGCCGTGGCGGAGCTGGGCCCCCTCCACCTGGTACTCTGCATGCGCCTTGAGGCTGGGGGCCGAGAGCTCCACGCCGGGCACGTGGAAGGCCGCTCTCTTCCCCTCCAACTCGCCTCCGCCTGAGCCCCGCCGGCCTGGAGAGAGAGCGCCATCCCCCTGGGGGCCCAGCAGCTCCACAGCTGGCACCTTGATCTGGGGCGCCTTCAGCCTGGCCTCGAACCCTCCCACTTCCACATCCAGATCTGGCAGCTTCCCTGCTTCCCGCCGGGCAGCCTCACTCTTCCCCTCCTGGTCCACCGAGAAGCCCACATCTGGCAGGGCAATCTGGGGCATCTTGAAGGAGAAGTCCGCCCCTTCAGGTGGGGGGCAGAGGGGCTGGGTGTCTGCACCCGCTTTGGAGAGGCCCAGGGACGGGAGCTTGATCTTGAACTTGCCCTCCTCGGGGGACCCCCGGGCCTCCCCTTCCCCCTTGGCAAGGCCAAAGCCAATGGGCACAGAGGGCATCTTGATCCGGGCGGCTTCCTTGGCCTCAGGGCTCAGCGCCTCTGTGCTGCCTCTCAGTTTGGGGGCCTTCAGCTCCAGCTGTGGGACTCGGGGCAAATCCGCCTCAGCTTCCGCTTCCCTGTCCGAGGTGGAGCCCCCAAATTTGGCCAGCCTGATGACCGGGCCCCCAGCTTTGGCGCGTGTCCCCTTCCCTGCTTCCGAGCCCACATCCAGCTCCACCTCAGGGGCCTTCACTCGGGGGGCAGAGAACTTGGGCAGCCCCACTGAAGGCATCCGGAACTTGGCTTCTGACCCTTCAGGGACCACCTCTCCCCCCTCTGCTGTCAGGGGCAGCTCCGTATCCGACAGGCGCCCCTTGGGCAAGGAGAGGTCCACTCTGGGCAACCGGATCTTGGTGCCCAGGAGGGAGGTGTCCACCGCCCCTTCCCCACCTTCCTCCCCGAAGCTGAGCCTGCGCCCCCCAAGCAGCTGCACCTCTGCCCCACCCTCCTCCGCTCTCCCAAACCTTGGCAGCTCCACCTGCGGCAGTTTGATCTTGGCCTCTGCTGGCAGCATGGGCTCTTCCACCCCGGCTGTGGGTAAACTCACTTCCAGCTCTAGTTTGGGGGTGGAAATGCCCACCCTGGGGATCTTCAGCTCCCCCTCGTATCCGCGGAGGTCGGCCTCTGAGACATCCACCACCGGCTTCTCCCCTTCACCTCTGCTGCTGGGCATGGAGATCTCCAGAGAGGGCACCTTCACCTTGAGGGTAGGGCTCTCTGCACCCACGGCCAGCCCCACCTCATCCCTGGCCCCGATCCTGGGCAGCTCCACCTGGGGCACCTTCACTTCCAGCTCGGGCGGGGCCTGGAGATGTGCCAGCTTCCCTGGGTCTGCTTCCACCTTGGGGGAGGAGAGTTTCAGCTTGGGCATCTTGGCGAAGGGGCCCCCCTTGGGCTTCTCCCTGGGGCTGCCAGGGGCTTTCTTGGCTTCTTCCATGCCCGCTGTGTCCCTGCGCATGAGGCCGAACGAGGGCATCTTGAACTTGGAGCCTTTGGCCTCCTTTTCGGGCACCTTTGTGCCCAGGTCTCCTGCCAGGGCCTCCCTGCTCCCTCTCAACTTGCCCTCCTGGCTCTCAAATGCCAGGTCCCCTTCCTTGCCTTTGCCCCGGAATTTGGGCAGCGAAAACCTGGGTACTTTCAGCTTGATGTCGGGCACCTCAGTGCCAACCTCGGGCAAGGGGGTGCCGGAAGGCTCTTCACCGGGCCATGCGGGGAGGCCAAGGTCCACGTCCACCGCCGGCACTGTGACATCCACCGCTGGCAGCTCCACCCCCCCGTGAGCCTCAAGGGCTGCAGTTGCCCTTGCCTTGGGTGCCGTCCCTTCCACATCCGCTTTCGATTTGGGAAAGGAAATCCCAAACTTTGGCACTTTCAGCTTGGCTTCCATGCCACCCTCCGCCTCAGGTGCTGAGGCCTCTGGGCTGGCCTTCCAGGCTTTGGGGCCAGGGATGCTGAACTTGGGGAGCGTAAATCTGGGCGCCTTGATGCTGGCCTCAGCCTCCAGGGCTTTGCTGCCCTCCAGTGTCACATCTGGGATCTTGACGGACGGGATTTCGACAGAGGGCAGCTTCACTTTGGCCCCCTCCACTTCCAGCAAAGACTGGCCCTTCACAGCCAGGCTGCTCTCTGCTGTTCCTTCCTCTCCCGGCAGGGCCTTTCCCAGAGAAAGGTCCACTTTGGGGATCTTGGCCACCATCCCGCTGACATCAGGCCCCCCCAAGACCCTCTCCCTTGGCTCTGCCTCTGGCAGGCCCCCCTGGCACGTGGGGACACTGATCTCCACCTCCAAGTCTCTGGTCATGGCCTTGGGTGAGAGCACCCTGAGCTTGACCTCATGGCCCCGGGGCAGCTGCTCGGAGGCCGCCAGCTCTCTCTCCACCTTTGGCAGATCCAGTTCAAGCCCAACTTTGGGCAAGTCAATGTCCAGTGCCGGCACAGCCGCCGACGGACAGCTCAGGCGAGCAGCAGGGACAGCCACCTCCACCCGCGGCTTCTCCACGGAGATATCCAACTCTGGCCTGGGCACAGGGGCCTTGGGCAGCTGCATGTCCGGCAGCCGCATTGCCGGCAAGGAGAGGTCCACCTTGGGGACGCTGACCTTCACGCCGGCCTCACCTTCCAGCCTGGGCGCCTGGGCATGCATCTGGGGCAGGGAGTCTGCCTTGGCAGAGAGGTCAAACTTTGGGAGAGACACCTGGGGCACCTGGAACTTGAACCCGGGCCCTTCAGCAACCTCTCCTGACTTCGGCCTCCCGGCGGGGGCTGCCACCTCCACCATGGGCCTGGGAAGCTGCACCTCCCCCACTTTGGGGAGAGCAATGTCCAGAGATGGAACCTTCACCTCGGGGAACACGGCCCCCTCTTTGCTTTCTAGCTTGCGTTCCGTCAAGGAAATCCCGAACCCTGGGAGCTGGATCTTGGGGCCTTTGGCTTTCGCCTTGGGGCTTTCATGCCTCCCCATGCTGAGCTCCACCTGGGGCAGCCTGCCTTCTTCTTCCCCTTTCTCCAGGGGGGCTCTGGAGCCCAGCTTGGGCAGGCTGAGCAAAGGCACCTTGACGGAGACATCTGGGACCTCTGCTCTGGCCTTCGGAAGCTCCACTTCAGCCTTCCCCTTGGGCAGGGGGATCCCCAGCTCCACCGAGGGGATCCCCACCTCCAGGGGGGGCAGGGCCACCCCCGCCTTCAGCTTCTCCTCCCGCTCTTCCGTTTTGCCCAGGGCCACTTCGACAGCTGGGACCTTGACGCTGGGTGCTTTCAGCTCCGCCTCCTCAGCGGAGACCCCAAACTTGGGGGCCCTGATCTTGAAGCCCTCCCCTTTAGGGGTCATCTCTGGGGCGGCTCTCTCCAGCCCAGGGAAGGACAGGTCAACGTCCACCTTGGGGGCTGCCACTTCGGCCGCAGGCAGCTTCAGCCCGCCCTGGAGACCCCCTTCCGTGAGCTCCACCCCGCTGACTTTGGGCAGGGCGGCCTCCACCTTGGGCAGTCCAAACTGGGGGGCCTGGACTTTGCTTTTGGGGGACTCTCTGCCGGGCCCAGCTTTGGGCAGTGGCAGGTCGAGCTCCACCTGCGGGGCCTGGAACTCGCCTTCTGCCTTGGCCCCCGCCCTCTTGGCCTTGCCGAAGGGCGCACTGAAGCGGGAGAGGCTGCCTGCTGCTTTCGCCTCCGTCGCAGCCTTGGGCAGGCCCACCTCCAGCCAGCCCCCGGTCCCCTTGGCTCTCGCTGCCGCAGCCTCCTTAACCTTCAGCCTGGGGAACTTCAGCCTGCGCCGCTTGGTCTCCAGGGAGGACAGGCGAGGAGAGATGTCTGGGCTGGGCTCCGAAACGGCCACTTCTCCTGCACTCTTGGCCTTGCGCAGCTTGGAGAACTTGGGCAGAGAGAACTCCACGTCGACGGGAGCCACGTCCAGCTTGCCACCAGCCAAGTCCCCGCTCCAGGACGCCCCTGACGCTGCCTGCAGGTCCTTGGCCTTTGCAGCCGCTGCCGCCGCCTTCTTCTTCTTCTTCTTTTTCTTCAGCGATGTCAGGCTCTGGATGTTCTGGGGAAAGAAGTGCAAGGGCTGCGTGAGTCTTAGCAAGAGGCGCCCAGAGAGAAGGTGAGGGAAAGGAGCCACGTACATAAAGTGGTGCGTGGAATGGAGAAAGGAGAAACGGGCGTTTCCCTCCCTCTCTCGTGGACATCCAGTGATGATTCAGGACAGGGGAAAGAGGTTCCTTCTCCCTGCAGCATAAACTGGAACAGGATTATTAACTATGAACCCCCAAATTTTGGATCTCCTCCAAACCTGTGCCAAAGTTCTGCAGTAAAAACCCTGCACCCCCAAACTGGATCCCATCCCACATTTAGGGGTTTGTAGTTAATGAAGCCCTGTGGAACTCACTCCCAATTGGGATGGCTTTAAAAGAGAACATAAGAGGAGATCTAGTCCAGTATCCTGTTCACACAGTGGCCAACCAGAGGCCCATTGTGGAAAACTAGCAGGCAGGATCTGACCACAAGAGCAACTCCTGTGGTTTTCAGCAACTGGGATTCAAAAACAGGGCAGAGCCATTGTGGCTGTGAGCCACGGACAGCCCTCTCCTCCTTCTCCATGAATTGGCCCATTCCTCTTTTAAAGTAATTTTTAAATTTGCCTCCTATGGATTAGACAAAGTCACGGAGGAGGAGAGGACTAGCAATGGCTACTAGCCAGGATGGCCAAGTGCAACCTCCCTGTTTGGAGGCAGTGATGCCTCTCAGTACCAGTTCATAGAATATCTATGTCAACCTCTGGGTGCCACCCCAGGCACCCTCACACCCCTGGAGACAGAGGGGGGTGCACCCTGTCACTGGGCCAGCGCCACAGAGCAATACTAGGACCACCTACCAGTTTGGCCATCTTGGCTTTGGGGCCCCTCACTTCAAAGGTGGTGGCTCCAGGCTTGCGGGAGACGTCAGTGCTGGGTACGGTCCGTTTCAGGCAAAAGGAGATCTTGTACGGCTCAGCACACTTGAGGATCTGCAAGGCGTCTTCATACTTGATGTTGTCAAAATAGACTCTGGCACTCAGGAGCTGGTCGCCTACAAGGCGGGTGGACAGGGGAAGATGTCGAAGCTGAGCCACAGCCCTGCAGTGTTATCCCTCCCGCTGCCCTTAGCTCGTTCTGCAGGAAGGGGGCAGGCCAGAAAACAGGGCCAAGGCCTGAAACTCCAGAGACGCTGTCCGGGGCAACTTTACAGGAACACAAACTTTGGCTCCGGAATTATTGACACAACTGGCAAGAGTGCCCCTGCTCACATGCAGAGACCATTACCGTCCCTTAACCCGTACCAAGGCTGAGCCCCGTCCAGGGCTGCCAAGGTCCTGAAGGGGTAGTCCACCAGCAGGGCACAGAGGCACCAGCTGCCTCCCTTGCCTCTCCCTCCGTCAGGTCTCCTAGCAGCTGTGCGCAAGGAGAGAAACTCTCTGTAGAAGCTGCCCCCATCTCATAGAGGGCAAGGGAGGGGCTGTGGCAACCCAGTCAGATGGAAGGGGTATAAATGATAAAATTATTATTATGTTGCTTAAGGTGGTCAAGGCGCCCTCGCCAGAGCAGAGAATCATCCCTGTTCTTCAGTCCCCCCCACCCTCCCTCCCTTCACTGGCAGTGTGGTGCAGTGGTTAGAGCATTGGACTGGGACCTAGGAATGACCAGTGTTGAAACTCCCTCGCAGACAGAGTGGTTGTTGTGGGCATTAGATGAGGACCAGGATTCAGGAGAGATCAGAGTTCCAATCTCCCCACTCAGCCATGACGTTTGCTGGCTGAGACCTGGAGGGCCTAACCTACATTGCAGGGCTGTTGTGAGCATTAAGTGAAGAGGGAAGAACCATGCAGGCCCCCTTGAGCTCCTTGGAGGAAAAAGGTGGGACATCAATGCAATGCAGGGAGGTTTGGGAGCAGAAGCCCCAAACGGCCACTGCTTCCAGCCTGTGCAGGCAACAGTGAGCTAGGAGGGAGCCAGACTCTGGCTTTGCGCCAGGCGGCTGCTCTTTCCCTCCACCAGCAGGGAGGCTCACCTTCGCGGAGGCTCAGCGCCTGAGCAGCAGGCGAGTCCTTCAGGACGTCCTTGACGAAGAGGCCACTCTTTCCCCCTCCGGCCACGCTCATCCCGCTGACCCCGGCTTCTGCCTCTGTCTCCACGATGATCTCCAGCAGCTCTGAGGTCTCAATGGTTTTCTCCATGGAGCTCAGCCGCGCCTCCATCTTGGCTGAGGCCAGGGGCTCCCCCCTCTCCTCTTCCTCGGCCTCTTCGGAGCTGCGCTGGCTCTCGCCTTTCCTCTGCAGGACTCTCTTCAGCTCCGCATGCAGCTTCTCCTTCTGGGCCTGGGGGGGAACCGAGAGGGTGTCCACACAGCACACCAAACCAGGCGGGGACCAGTTCGCTGAACTGCCACAGCTTCCTCCCAGGGGCTCCTGCTTCTTTTGGGAAGACGATGGAGCTATTTCGCTAGTGGGAGTTTATTCCTCCCAGCCTCCTTGGAAGAACCATCCACACACACCCCAACACCACCCAGCAATTCTCCTTTCACTATCCGGCTTAAACGTTGGCGGAGGCTTTCTTGGGAGCCAGGGAGCCAAGGCTCCTAAACTCCCCTCCCCTGCTGGCCAGTCCAGAGCCAGCTTCCCCCTCTCTGCCCCGCCTAATGGTGATCTCAGATAAACTAAGAGCATGAGACGAGCTACTGGATCAGGCCAAGAACCCATCCAGTCCAGCCTGCTCTTTTCACCTAAGAATCCAGATAGACTGCCGCTGGACCGGGAGGTTCCCGAAGAACATACAAAGAGCCTGGCTGCTGGATCAGGCCAACTGGGGCCCATCTAGACCAGCATCCTGTTCTCACAGCGGGCAACCAGATGCCCCAGTGGGAAGATCACAAGCAGGATCCGAGCACAAGAGCCACTCTCTCCTCCTGCAGGTTCGAGACATGGGCATTCAGAAACATTGCATGGCATAGCCCTCGTGACTAGGGGGCCTCGATAGCCCTCTCCTCCAGGAATGGGCACAATCTGCCATCCAGGTTGGTGGCCACCACTGCCTCCACCTGTGGAAGGGAGTTCCATAGTTTAACTAGGCACTGCATGGAGATGTAAGAGGCGGCAGAGGCCACACCTTGGAGGGGCAACAGGCTCAGGGACCCGGCGTCACCCAAACTGCCTTCTACCCCACATCTTCAGATGTGTGACCTGTCCCCTTCTCCTTGGGGGGGCACAGCCCTACCTGCCTCCTCCACCCTCAGAACGTGTCTTCTTGTCTGTCCCCCCCCCGCCCCCTCTTCCCGACTTACTGCTCGGTCTGCGTCACCAGCTTCCTCGGGGGGCAGGTGCGGGGGGCTGCCTGCGGGGGGCTGCGGCTGCTCATTCCCTTTGGAGCCGGCTGTCTGGAAGGCAGGAGAGAAGCAGGAGGTGGGGAGGTGGCTCTGCCAGCTCTCAGGGACCCCAAAGGCCCAGCTGGGAATGGGGTGCAGCCGGGGGGGCTGGCCTCTGTAGTAGACAACGCCAGTGGTAACAGGGGCACAATCGGTCTGGGCTGGGGAGGTGCTGAAGGGACACAGGCGCAACTAGGGAACAGGCTCCCTCGGAAGGTAGTGGACTCTTCTTCGTTGGGTTTTTAAGCAGAGGTCTGGTGGGGGTTGGGCTCGATGACCCTTGGGGTGCCCTGCAATCTGCAGTTCTATGATTATAAGCAGATCTGCTGCTTTTACTGCGACAGAGCAACACAGCCACTTCTCGAAATAAACACACCTGAGTTACACTTAGAACCACAGAACTGTTGAGTTGGAAGGGACCCCCAAGAGTCATCTAGTCCAACCCCCTGCAATGCAGGAATCACAACTTAAACACACACAAACGGCTTTGTAAGACACCCACTCCCACCTATAAATCTGCCGGCAGGAGTCATGGAGGAGTGGGAAAACAGCAAGAGCCCACCAGGGAGGGTGCTGACCTGCAAAACGTCCAGAGAGATGATCGCCAGGCCCAGAGGACCAGTGGGAGAACCCTGGGCCTGGGAGGACCGAGTTCAAGTCCTAACCCAGTGATGGAGCAGTGGCTGGAGTGTCGGACTGGGACCAGGGTTCAAATCCCCATTGGGCCATGCAGCTCACTGGGTGGCCTTGGGCCGGTCATTGCCTCTCACCCTGGCCTACCTCACAGGGTTGTTTTGAGGATTAAATGAGGGTGAGAACCACGTCTGTTGCCTTGAGCTCCTTGGAGAACAAAGTGGGATATAAATGCAGTAGACAGGCAGCCAGGTACTGCAGGCAGGTAGACAGACTTGGGGGCGGGGCCATCGATTCACCTGCCACCTATCTGGAAAATGGGCACAGGGTTGTGTCTGCAGTCCAAAGAGCTGCACTGGAAGCGTCATTTGAGAGAGGAGGTCCACCTGCAGGAGGTCAATTCCCAGGCTTCCTTGAAGAGGGTTTCTGGTGGGGCTGACCCAGAATTGAGACAGGGGGAGCCCAGCTTGAGGGTGGGGGCTGCAATAGTGGTGATGGAGTAGGAGCAGGTGCCCAGGTACTTACAGCTGCTTGCTGCCTTGTCCTGAACACGTGGCTCTCTGGAACCTGGCCCTGTGCAGCTGTGGAGGGGAAAATGTTATTATTTTATTTGTTATTATTTATTATATTTGTATACTGAAGATCACAGGATATTCACAACATAAAAATACAAAATGATAACACAAAATACATAATAAAACAAACACAAACCAATAACCCCATTCCCACAACACGTTTAAAAGGGTATTGGATAATTAGCCAAAGGCTGGGGAGAAGAGGAATGTTTTTGCTTGGTGCCTAAAGGTGTATAATGAAGGCGCCAAGAGAACCTCCCTGGGGAGAGCATTCCACAGATGGGGAGCCACTGCAGAGAAGGCCCCGTTCTAAGTGTTGCCACCCTCCAGACCTCTCGAGGAGGAGGCACATGAAGGAGGGCCTCAGGAAATGATCTCAGGGTTTGGGTAGGTTCATATGGAAAGGCATTCCTTGAGGTATTGCGGTCCTGAGCCATTTAAGGCTTCATAGGTCAAAACCAGCACTCTGAATTGGGCCGGGAAATTAATCAGTAGCCAGAGCAGTTGGACCAAGATCTGTGTCATATGCTCAAGCCGTCTTGTCCCAGTGAGCAGCCTAGCTGTCAAGTTCTGTGCCAGCTGAAGTTCAGAAACCGCTCTACGTAGAAGGCATTGCAGTAATCCAACCTGGAGGTTACCAAAGCATAGACAGCAGTAGCTAGGCTCTCCCTGTCCAGATGGGGGCACAGCTGGGCCACCAGCCAAAGCCGACGGAAGGCACTCCGGGTCACTGAGGCCACCTGAGCCTCAAGCAACAGCAGAGGATCCAGGACCACCAAGCAGTAGCCTGGCTCTTTTTAAGTTTTTATGGAACCTCCAAGTCCAGAGGCAGTCTATCTAGAGCCCTGGGTCCCTAGGGGTATTTGACCACAGTGAGAACAGGATGCTGACCCAGCAGCCAGGCTCTTCTGAGGTTCTTCTGCCCACCAACCCCACAGATGTCAGCCTCTGGGATGGAGAGGAAAAAGCCACCTCTGGAGAGGGAGGCATGGCCCCCTAGGCTTCCACAGACGGCCCCCTCCTCCTCTCCCACTGTTCCTTCCTGCTGCCCTCCTTTCCCTGCCCAAGAAGACTGCAGCCGGCACTTGCTCCCTCCCTTGGTGAAATCCCAGGCTGCCACGGAGGGGTGGCATTTCATTCCCACGCCCGGACTCCGAGGACCCACGCCACACCGTTCCCCAAAGGTCAAGACGCGATGCCGCACATTCCCAGGCCAGAGGACAAAGGGACGCAGCGTCTTGGCCAACCCCTCACGGGCATCGCTAGCATTCCTGGAGCCGTTCCCAAACACCTCCCCCTCCTCAGCGACTGCCCTCTGGAGCTCTGGCTGGCATCTCCGTGGAGAAACCCAAGGCAGCAGGAGCCCCAGGGCCGAAAGCAAACTCTGAGCTTCTCCACACTGGCCTTTTGCCCTGTGCTGTCCAGACACAGGTTGCCACTTCAAATCTCCCTTTCTGAATGCTCTTTAAAGCTGAAGTGCAAACCCAACCAATTTGGGTTTCCCACAGACTGACGTTTGCTCCGATTCAGCAGTAAAGAGTGGATTTCCGCAGGGGAAACTCCAGAGCACGAACAAGAACATTCAAACATGGAGATTTAAAGGGCAGACCTAGGCCTTGAAAGTTCAAAGGATTGTTAGTGTGAGTAAGTCCCCAGGCAGGTCCTCACACTCACAGCCAGTGTATTAAATGTGGGGGGGGGGGGAGGGTGTGCTCTGGATTCATACCCCACAATGTGTGCTTCTGGCTGAAGAAGTGGGACTCGTAAGCATAAGATAAGAATTTGGGTGGCTTTCAAAGAGAATTAGACAAATTCATGGAGGAAAAGTCTATGGAGGTAAAGGTAAAAAGGTAAAGGACCCCTGGACGGTTAAGTCCAGACAAAGGAAACTATGGGGTTGCGGCGCTCATCTCGCTTTCAGGCCGAGGGAGCCGGCGTTTGTCCACAGACAGCTTTCCGAGTCATGTAGCCAACATGACTAAACCGCTTCTGGCACAACAGAACACCGTGACAGAAACCGGAGTGCACGGAAACGACGTTTACCTTCCCACTGCAGCGGTACCTATTGATCTACTTGCACTGGTGTGCTTTCGAACTGCTAGGTTGACAGGAGCTAGGACACAGCAACAGGAGCTCACCTCATCGTGGGGATTCAAACCACTGACCTTCCGTTCAGCAAGCCCAAGAGGCTCAGTGGATGAGACCACAGCGCCACCCAGGATGGAAATTTCAGAAGGAGAGAGGGCTGCTCTGGGGCTCAGATTCCGCTTGCTGGTTTCCACACAAACCTAGTTGGCCACTGTGAGAACAGGCTGCTGGACTAGATGGGCCACTGGCCTGATCCAGCAGGCTCTTCTTCTGTTCTGATGCTTCTTTCACTTCTTCCCACTTTCTTGATTGCTTTGGTGGCCCTTTTCTAAACCTCTTCCAACTCCACAATATCCCCTTTGAGGTGAGCTGACCAGAACTGTTCAGGTGCAAGCAGCAGATGTTCTGCCTGGGGCCCCCTGGGGCCCCCTCCTTTCCTGCTCTGCTCCCTCCAACCTCTTAATGCAAAACTCAGTGGAGAGAGATCTGCTCCCACTCCGAGCCCAAGACAAAGAGGGGCCTGTTCAGGTCTCTCTCTCTCCCACCTCCCTCGCTGCAGCGTCACCAGCCGTGCATCGTGGCAGAGCGTGGGAGAATGCCAGGCATTCTGTAGGCTCAGCAAAGCCAGAGTTGCGGCCAGCAAGGGGCAGTGGGGAGAGAGAGGCAGGCCAGGCCTGGGCCAGGAATGCTGCAAAGCAGCCAGGAGACAGGGCCCAGTGTCCCAGGGAGCTCTCCTTCCTGCTCTGGAGCCTGAGCCAGCCTGCGGGGTCAGACTAGATGACTCTGAAGGTCCCCTGCAGGAATGCAGAAAAGGTTTCCTGCAAATGACTGAGGCATTCCAGAAGGCCCACCTCAAAGCCAAAGTGAGGGAAGCCCATTCACACAACTCTTTCAAACCCCACTTGAGGCTACTTCTCAATGGCACTGCACTCCTTCCTTCCTTCCTTATGTGCAAAGCTTGAGCCAACCTCTCTGCCATTCCTTCTGTCTCTTCCCCCCATCTCCTTGAGCCCCCCTCCCTGGCCAGCTTCACACATGCAAGCACATCACTTAACTCCCCAATGCTGGCAGAGGAGCCCAGGAACCAGCAACTAGAGCCAAGCTGTTACTGTGAACATGAAACCAGAGCAAAGTTTCTCACACTCTGGGCCTTTACCCTTTGCCCCAACCCACCTCCAAAAACACCTGAGCAGGCTGGCTTGTACTTTGGGGGCAAGGTGTGGGACAGACAGACATAAGAACGTTATTATATTTATTCCATTTAAATGCCGCCCTTCGTCCACAAAAGCAGAGCCTGCTGGATCAGTCTAATGGCCCGTCTAGTTGAACATCCTATTCTAACAGTGGCTGAGCAGTTGCCTGTGGGAAATCTCCAAGCAGGATCTGAGTGAGAGAACCACTCTCCCCTCCTGCGGTTTGCAGCAAATGGAATTCAGGAGCATTGCTGCCTCTGGCTGTGGAGGTCAGAGCAGAGCCAGTGATAGTCCTCTCCTGACAACCTTGGAGGTTTCTTAGCAGAGGTTGGATGGCCATCTCTCAGGGATGCTTGAGTTGAGATTCCTGCATTGCAAGAGGCGGTTGGACTAGAGGAACTTTGGGGCCCCTTCCAATTCTACAATTCTATTCCTCAAGGAATTTGTCCAATCCTCTTTTAAGGCCTTCCAGCTTGGAGGCGATCACTGCCTTCTGGGGGAGAGTTTGACAGAGGGAGAAAAATTTCACCGTCTCCACTTTCTCCATGCCAGGCATAATTTTGTAAACTGCTATCATGCCACCTCTGACTTGACTTTTCTCTAAATTAAAAAGGCCCAAATGCTGCCTCCTTTTCTCATAGGGGAGACGCTCCACCCCCTGGAATAGCTGTGTTAATTTATTACCCCCCCTTCACCCTAAGGTCCCAGAGGTGTCAGCAAAGGCTCAAAGAGATAGCAGGAGGCCAAGCAGAGCCAAGAGCCAGCCCCTCCCAAGCACCCCTTCCTCCTGAGGAGGGGGTGCTTCTGCCATCCACACAGGGAAGGAAACCACCCTGCCTCTGCCCCCCCCCCCAGGACAGAGAGAAGCTCCTTCTTGGAGTGCACTTCCTCACTCTCTTATTCAGCACATTTCAGAAACAGAAGGAAGAACACGGGGGCAGGCGCGGGGGGGGGGGGGAGAGAACGCAAAAGGCAAAACCAGCAAGATCCACTTGACAATTGAATGGACTGTTGCCAGGTGGTGGACTTTCCTTCCCTGGAGGTTTTGAAGCAGAGGTTGGATGGCCATCGGTCAGAGTTTTTTTAGCCATGGCTCCTACATTGCAGGGCCCTTGGGGGTCTCTTCCAGCAGTTATATGGCAGTAAGCAGAGTTGCACAGAGAATGGGGGGTGGCGGGGGTGGAGGAAGGAAGATATTGAGGGGGCAAAAGAAAAGGAGAGAGACCTGGGGGGGGGGCTGGGACCCTAGGTCAGGGAACAGCGCAGCCCTCACTGCAGGGAGGAGGCAATCATCCAGAAGGGGCAAATGGAGCAGGACCACCCTCAGCACAGGGACCACTTTGCCCCTCTATCACAAGCGTGGCGTAGTGGTTAGAGCATTGGACTAGGACCCGGAAGAGAGCAGGGTTCAAATCCCAGCCACCATGGCCATGAAGTTCCCTGTGTGTGTCCTTGGGGCTAATCACTGCCCCCCTCAGCATAGCCTACATTGCAGGGTTGCAGCGGGGATACAGTGAGAAGGGGAGGAACTCTGTCCAGGCCACTTGGAGCTCCTTTGAGGAAAAGGTGGGATCTAAGTGCAACAAAGAAACAAACAAGGCCAAAGGGCCGCCTGCCCCTATACTGGCTCACAGGCATCCCATGTGACTCTCCCCCATTCTCCCCCTGTCATCCCTTTCTAAACTGAGCACATGCCCTGAAAGTGCCTGGCTTAAGTTTTAAACAATGGGCAGCCACAGGTTGAAGAATGTCTGCCCTTTCCTTCTCCGGACCAAGGGGCAGGCCAGGAGAAGGACTCTGATTCTGGACACAGGTGGAAGGAAGAGCCTCAGTCAGGAGGAGGAGCTACAGCCAAACCATGGTGAAGTGGGGGAGCAGAGGCCCCTTCACCTTGGGAACCAGCAATGCCCAATTTCCTAATCTAGCAGCAGAAAAACTGCTGGAGCAAGAGGTAAACCAGAGGCAACCCCTGGCCCCAACCTCAGCTGTCACGAGAACCAAAGAAGAGCCTGCTGGATCAGGCCAGTGGCCCACCAAGTCCAGCATCCTGTTCTCGGGGGGGGGGGGCAGTCAGATGCCTCTTGGAAATGCACAAGCAGGATCTGAGCAACTCTCCCCTCCTGCAGTTCCCAGAGAATGTCAGACACTCAGATATACGAGCTAGGTGCCCAATGGCTTCATGGACCAAGGCTGCAGTCGCCAACATCGAATGTCTAGTTGCCATTTGGGGACAAGTCAGCTCTAAAGTCTTTGTTTTCAAATGATGGAGTGAGTGATTCTCAGTTAAACATCCGGCTAGTTCAAATGACAACCTTGAGCTGAGAACTTCAAAGAAGAAAAGTCCCTTGATCCAGGGGTAGTCTGCATATATATTGGCTGATTCCTTTTTCTTAATGGGGACACAGACCATTCACAGAATATTCTTCCCAACTGTGAGCAGGGCAGTGGGAGAAGACAAGCAACAACAATTCACTATAACGTCGTTCATTGCTCCTGCTCAGGCTGCACAGAAAAAGCATTTTGGTGCCTAAAATTCATTCTGATTGTGCAGATAAAATATAACGGATAGCGTTCTACAGGAGGGGGTATTAGTGTGTGAAAACAGTCCAGATCCAATGATCCCCAGACGGTGATGATGTCAGGTGCCATCCTGACAGCGCCCAGGCATCTTCACTTGGTCACAAGTGGCCGATAGCCGGGTGAAAATTGCATCTGGCCTCTGGCTAATTTCAAACACGGTTCCCAGCAACTGAAATTCAGCAGCATTGCCTCCTCCAGCTGTGGAGGGCAGAGCAGAGCCTTGTGTCTAGCAGCCCTTGAGAGCCCCATCCTCTTTTAAAGCCATCCAAGTTGGGGGCCACCACTGTCTCCACTAGGCACTGTGTGAAGAAGGACTTTCTTTTCTCTCTCCTGAAACTGTCCAGCATCCGGCTTCCAATTCTGGGCCTGGATGAGAATTTGGGGCCCTGGTCTGGATGCCCCATTCTCACCAGCTCCAGGCAAAGCCCCTCCTTCCTGGGGGAGAGCAGGTGCCCCTCTATTTTGCAAGGTAAGTGCGTCACTCTGGTCGCCCTGACTTTGGGGCAGGGAAACACAGATCCCGCCTGAAACCTGAGGCTGTCAGTAATCCCTGAGAAAAGGGTCTGATAGGAGGAGGCAAAACGTAGTTTTGCTCCTTGGCTGCAAGTGACGCACTTTCAGGCGCCATTCCAAGGCTGTATTCCTGGAAAGGCCCTCTGAAGCCCCTCCCGTGGGTCAGCGTTGGGGGCGGAAGGCAGATAACATCCCCACCAAAGGATTTCCTGCAGCAAGTCCTGCTTCAGCAGCCGGACCTCAACCAGGCACCCTGCAAACGCCACAAAGGGGGGTGGGGGGCTGAACTACTCAGCAGCCCCACCCTCATGGAAACTACAATTCCCAGGACTCTGCAGGCCAAGCCATGGAAGTTCAAGGCCGCTTCCAAGGCCAAAGCCAGAGAGCGTTTCTGCCTAGGAGTTATTCGTGCCTGAAAAGTACGATCTAAAGAGTTCAGGAACATAAGGAAATAAGAACAGCCTTCTGGATCAGGCCAGGGGCCAAGAAGGCGGGCTCAAAGGGTGTGTGTGTGTGTGTGTGTGAGAGAGAGAGAGAGAGAGAGAGAGAGAGAGAGAGAGAGAGAGAGAGAGAGAGAGAGAGAGAGAATACCCCTTTCTAAATTGCAGAGTTTTTCTTTCAGGTTTCCCAGTCAAGCCAGTAACAGCAGTGCTACTGCAACATGCACATTGCCAAAGAAGATGGCAAGTGGAAAAATCAGCAGAAGCTCCCCTGAAGCTCCCACCCAGCCCTCAGATCCTTGCGAAGGAGAAGGGGCCACTTACACTCCCCGTTAGCCCCTTCTTGTCTCAGCACCCCTTTTCTCAAGCCCTTCCCTCGTCTCCTCCACCTGCCCTGCTGGATGATCCCCCTCCTTCAGCTGCCTCTGGGCTCCCCGACCCTTTGGGATCTCTTCCAAGGTTACAAAAGAACATCAGAAGAACCTGCTGGATCAGGCCAAGCGTCCTGTTCTCACAGGGGCCAACCAGATGCCTCAAAGGGTTTCAAGCAAAAGAGGTTTCCAGCAGGTGAGATTCAGAAGCATTGCTGCCTCTGACCATCCTGGCTAGGAGTCATCAATAGCCCTCTTCTCTTACTCCTGCAGCCCAGCATGCGGCTCTCATGAGAAGGACAGCTTGCTGGATCTGCCCCCCCCCCATAATAAGATTAGAGGAGCATGCTTAGAACCTGCCTGCACTTGGATCCTGCTTGCAGGTTCCCCGCAGGGCCTGATCCAGCAGCCAGGTTTTTCTTATAGAGGTGGATTTAGGGGGCACAGAGTCATGGGGGTACTGCAACTATTATTTAGGATGGAGACCAAAAGGTGGGTAGGGAGACCAAATTTTGTTGCTGCACAGGACGCTGCTGAAATTTGAGACTCCAAGGTCCACCATGACTTCTTCTGTTCTTTTGGACCTCGGGGTGCTTGGGGGCTCATGTGGACCTCCCAGAGGAACAAGCGGCTCCCCTGACAGGAAGCAACGCCTCTCTGCAGCTCCCGTCCAGAGCTCAGCGGTTGCCCAAACAGCAAACGAGGCCAGGAGAGTCAGCGAGGGGGAAAACAAGGCCGCCACAGTTGCCGTCCCTTTGGCTCCAGAGCTCCTGATCCAATTAAGGCAGGAAAGAGCCGCTTGCTCTTCTGGTAACAGCCTTTAATTGGGAGCAGCTCTGCTTGGAACGAGGCCGGCCCCTGGCCCACGTGGGCCACATCCTGCTGAGTTCAGGGGCAGGAAGGAGCACTGGTGAGAGAAAGCTATCATCATCATCACCATGGCTGCTAGACAGACAGACGGCCTGTCCCTGCCCGCAATGGTCTCTGGCCAACAACACAGGGAAGGAAAACGATGGCCAGCGCTCTTGATCTCTCCTCCGCCCCCAGGTTGGGGGGGGGCTGAAACAGCCAAGACCTGAGACTGTCCCTCCTCTGGCTCTATCAGCTCTCCCTCTCAGGGGGCCGGGTAGCCTCCTTTGGGGCCACCCTCACGGCTGTGACACAGATACCCCAGAGCTGCTTGTTAAGGTTTTGGGCCTGGCAAATACAATGTCAAGTGTGCCTCTGAGCATGTGCGCAGAGCGCCTTCCCCCAGTCCCACTGCCAGCCAAAAGGACACCAACATCCCAGGTCGGCCATGGCTTTCAGGAAGGGCGGAGCCCCCAAACCTCTCTTTTTAGCAGATGTGGTGCAGCTGTTCGACGCCACGCCGCAGAAAGGAGATCTGGAGTCACAGGCAAAGCGCCCTAAGCATAAAATCAGACGTCTCCCTGCCAGGGGGAGTTTTCTGCTGCAGCAGCAGCAACACTGGCAGCCTCTGAGCCAGAGCTCTTGGCTGAAGGGCAGTCGGAGGAACGCCTGGCTTTTCATCTGCCCTGCAGCCTCCCCCGTTGCTGGACCACCATGGTGGAGGCAGAGGGCTGAAGGTGGGCTTCCCCTTGGGGAATCTGGTTAGCCACTGGGAGAACGGTGCTGGGCTAATTTTGCCCCCCTTGCGCCTGATCCAGCCGCCGGGCTCTTCTTGTGCTCTTATGGAACCTCCAGCTCCAGAGGCAGTCTATTTAGATTCCCCGGTTCTTAGTGTTTTGCCACCGTGAGAACAGGAGGATGGACTGGATGAACCACTGGCCTCATCCAGGTGTTCCTCATGAGCTCAGGGCAGCTGACCTGGATGCCAATTACCCCCACTTTATCCTCACAACCCCCCAATGAGGTAGGCTAAGGAGAAAGGGAGTGAAATGGGCTGAAGGGTGAGGTGAATGGCTGAGGAAAGATTTGAACTCTGATCTTGCCAACCAGAGCACACCACTCTAACCATTAGGGCCAAAGTCCTCACTTCCCCTCCCCCTGGGCACAGCCAGGTGCCCCCCAAGGCACACAGGGGCACTGAGAAGGTCTGAAGGCCAAGGGGGGGCGGGTTTGCTCCAGGCTTCCTGTCCTGCTAGCTGAGGAAATGAACTGGGTTTCCTTTGAGTCAGGGCTCCGCTGAGGTCTTGCCAGCAACGCAGGAAGTCAGAAACAAAAAGAAGGTGGCACTTGTGCAGGCAGCATCCCACCTCGGCCCGCCTGACCCCAGCCAGAAGCCTCTTCTTCTCTGGCGATCCCTCGTAGTTGAGTAAGATTGCCTTCCATGAACACGGCCTTAACAGTGAGTCCGTGACTGTGTAGGCCAATTCTGGATCCACATGTCCTTCCATGGTGGGACACAGGAGTTGATCATGGTGTGATTTGCCAAGCATGCCTTCCTCATAGCACCTTTCTCCCTTGCGTCCTGAGTTTGAGTGTCTTCAAAACCCAGGACACCTTTGGTCAAGGCTGTTCTCCAACTGGAGCGCTCGCAGGCACCAGTGTTTCTCAGTTGTTGGTGTTTATACTTCTTTTTTTTTAGATTTGCCTTGAGAGAGTCTTTAAACCTCTTTTGTTGACCACCAGCATTACGCTTTCCATTTTAAAGTTTGGAATAGAGTGGTTGCTTTGGAATATGATAATCAGGCATCTGAACAACATGACCAGTCCAACAAATGTTGAAGAATCATTGCTTTGACACTGGTGATCTTTGCTTCTTCCAGTATACTGGTATTAGTTCACCTGTCTTCCCAAGTGATGTGTAGAATTTTTTGGAGACCCTGTTGATGGAATCTTTTGAGGAGTTGGGGATGGTGTTTATAAGTGGTCCGTGTTTCACAAGCATACAGTGAGGTTGGTAGTACAATAGCTTTGTAAACAAGCATTTTCATTTCCCTGTGAATGTCCCGGTCTCAAACACTCTGCACTTCAATTGGGAGAAAGCCAAACTCACAGAGCTCAGGTGATGCTGGATTTTGGCATCAATGTTGGTCCATGTGGAAAGATAATTGCCCAGGTAGGAGAAGTGATCAACACTTTCCAGTCTTACAGAACTGAATTAGATTTGTGGCACTGCAGAGGGGTTATTTTGTACTTGTTGGTGCAGCACTTTGGTTTTGGGGGTGTTGAGCAATAGACCTAAGCTTTTCATAAGCTTCTGCGAAGATATTTAGGATGGTTTGGAGGTCATCCTCTGAGCGTGCGCACACTACGTTGTCACCAGCATACTGAAGCTCTATGACGGAAGTTATGGTAACCTTACTCTTTGCTTTCAGGCTGCTCAGATTGAATAGCTTTCCATCTGTTCAATATACGATTTCTACCCTGGAGGGGAGTTTCCCTTCAACAATGTGTAGGATCATGGCAATGAAAATAATAAATAGGCTTGGGCCAATAATACATCCCTGTTTCACACCTGATCCCACAGTGAATGGTTCACTTTGAGAGCCATTGTTATCTGCAATTTTTGCTGTCATATTATCACGGAGGAGCTGAAGGATGTTCACAAATTTATCTGGGCCACCAGTTTTCAGAAGGACAGTCCACAGGGCATTACGATTTACAGCGTTGAATGCCTTAGCAGCACCCACACAGCCGCCCTGGGGGCCATCTTCAGGCTCTTCAGACTGGACAGCGGGCACAATTTGGGCTTTGGGGATCCACTAACCTGGCACAAAAGGTGCACCTTTAGAATTCTGAGTCCGGGAGCCTACAGTCCTGGCACGCAAAAATCCCAGCTAACCCAAAAACCTTCATCTCAGCCGTATAATCTCTCTCTCTGTGTGTGTCTCATTTTGTTGCTGCTGCTGTTCCACAGTGAAGAGACAGAGCTCCTTCTGCACACCACCCAGAGATCTATCAGATCCACCTTCTAACCCTCCTGCTGCTTTAGGCTACAAATGGAACCTCACAGGGCTGTTGTGAGGATAAGAATGGGGTTGGCTGGGAGGACCTCATAGGCTCCCTTGAGCACACTGGAGGAATGTGGGGTTTAAAAGGAGAAAAGTAGCTTAATAAAGCAGTAGCAGGGGTGACCCCAAAATTCACATTACTTTTGGCAGCCTGGTTCACCAGGTGGAGTGGATGAGAGGGCTGGGGTGGCATTGAGCCACAGTCAGAAGCAGCAAGACTTCCGCATAGCAGCTGCTGGAAACCACAGGAAGGGAGAATTGCTCTTGGGCTCGGATCCTGCTTGTGATCTCCTCATAACAGGCCTCTCATGAGCCACTGTGAGAACAGGATGCTGGACTAATGCCCCCCCCCCGGCCTGATCTAGGAGGAACTTCTTCTGCTCTTGTGGAGCCTCCAGGCCCAAAGGCAGTCTAGCAAAGGCCTCCCCACCGTGGCAGCAGCAGACTTGACTTGGAGGAGAAGCTGTGCTCCGCTGTTCCAGTGTGGAGGAGAGAGAACTGTGCAGGTCAGCGAGGTTGAACCCAGGTCTGGACAGAGGGCAGGAAGAGGAGGACACTCCCCGTCCTCTGCCCCCCTCCAAGGCAATTTGGGGAGAGGGGGAAACAGCAGCTCACACCCCAGGAAATCCTGCTCAAATCCAAACGTCCCGTTGGCAGGGAGAGTTTGCTTCCATCAGAAACAGGAAGCTGGCTTAGGAGGAATTGTGCCTCAGAAAGACCTCAGAAAATGAAAACCTACTGGCCAGGTGGATCCACCCAGGCCAGACATGCTTTCAGAAAAGCTGGCCAGCTAGGAGGGCCAAAGCCCCATCCATTCACTGCAGCTGGCATTCGAGGGTAGGCTGCCTTTGGAACTGGAGGTTCCACGCGGCCATCATGACCATGAGCCACTGACGGACCTCTCCTCCTATGTGGCGTTATCTAACACCTTTTTTTTGTCTAACACCTCCTCCATGAATTTGTCCTGTCCTCTTTTAAAGCCATCCAGGTTGGTGGCCACCCGGCCTCCTGCAGGAGGGAGTTCCACAGTTAACTCTGCGCTGAGGTCAGACAAGGGCACAGACACGGAGCTCCTTCTCCTTTGCTGTCCCATCAACTCACTGCCAGGATGCTAAATTTAATGCTGGGGGGGGCGGGAAAGGAGGAGACCGGGCTGGGAGGGGAGCTCTCCTTCCGTGCTGTATGCTGGGGAAATGCTCTGCAGCTCCTGGTTTCCAAGAAAATCCCGAAGCACAGACTTAGAAAGACAGAGAGGAACTCTCCTTTCCCACAGAGAGGAACTCCAGATGAAGCAAAGCAGAGCAGAAAACAGCAGCGATTTGGGGAAAGGTCACGGAGCTGGGGGGCCCTGCTTTCCACGCAGAAGGCACTCCACCCCCCCCCAGGTCAGACCTGAGTTTGAAACCATGGCACGTTGCTGCCAGTCAGTGTAGATAACAGTGGGCTGAATGGACCAAGGCTCCTTCTAATGATGGTGTGGGAAAGAGCTTCACTTTCCATCTTTCAATTTTCATCTGCTCTCTCTGTTTTTATCCACATCATAAAATGAATTTTTTAAAAGTTTACCAAAAAAGAAAAGGTGAGCCAAGCCAGACTCCGCCAGGGTCTGCAAGGCCTCCACATGGGGACATGGGCCTGCCCTGCCCGGGACCATCCTGGCATTTCCCAACCCCTTTATTTGTGGGTTGGCACAGGCGCTGCAACGTGCAGGAGGAGAGATCTCTGGGCAGCCAGTCCCACTCACTGCCCCCCCCCCTTGGCCCAGGAGGCCTGCCAAGCCAGAAGGAAGACTGCTTCCCCACAAGCTGAGCAGGAAGGCTTAGCTGAACCCCGAGGGGCTGAGCCTGAAGCCGCCCAAACCCAGCCCAGTCTCCTAGGGTGCACAGGCATGTGCTGGGAATCTTAGAATGGTGGTGCTGGAAGTGACTCAAAGGGTCATCCAGTCCACCGCCCCCCCACCCAGCAAGGGTCGTAGCTCAGCCGTGGAGCGTGCAAGTAAAGCTGATAACCTCCCCTGCCCGAAATCTCAGGGAACAGCTGCCAGTCAGAGTAGCCAATGCTGAGTTGCATGGAGCAGCTGTCTGGCTCAGGATAAGTCCCCAAACTAGAGCAAGGGCTGCCTGCTCTCCTTTCCTTCCAAAATTTCCCTGGGAAAGAATCACCTGGACGGCTGCAGGAAGCAGCAACCTCAAATAGCCACAAATTCACACAGCCTCCACACCCCAACAAACTGTTTGCATTTGAGACCAGGGCATCTGGACCCACAACCATGGGTCCGTACTGAAACAGCTTCGGTCACCCTGATGGAGGACCTGTGTTGCGAAAGGGGCAGGGAGAGGGAGACCAGCTCAGTGGGGTGGGTATTGGAGGGGCCATATGGCAGCACTTCTGTCTGTCTCCCCAGGGTCGTAGCCAGAGAGTGGCACTGAGTGAGGGGTCCTTGGCCCCCTGGCACCTGTGTCGTGGGGGTACGCTCCTCTCTGAAATCCAGCATCACCTGAGCTCTGCGAGTGCAGCTTTCTCCCAATTGACATGCAGAGTGATAGAGGACCAGGACATTTGCAGGGAAACCAAAATGCTTGTTTACAAAGCTATTGTACTACCAATTTTACTGTATGCTTCTGAAACATGGACCACTTATAAACGCCATCTCCAACTCCTCAAAAGATTCCATCAACAGGGTCTCCAAAAAATTCTACACATCACTTGGGAAGACAGGTGAACTAATACCAGTATACTGGAAGAAGCAAAGATCACCAGTGTTGAAGCAATGATTCTTCAACATCAACTTTGTTGGACTGGTCATGTTGTGCGGATGCCTGATGATCGTCTTCCAAAGCAACTACTCTATTCCAAACTTAAAAATGGAAAGCATAATGCTGGCGGTTAACAAAAGAGGTTGTGTTACTTTTATTGTTCTTAGCCGCTCTGAGCACAGCTTCGGCTGGAGAGGGCGGGATATAAATAAATTAGTATTAGTATTAGTATTAGTATTAGTATTAGTATTAGTATTAGTATTAAAGACTGTCTCAAGGTAAATCTTTAAAAATGTAGTATAAACACCAACAATTGGGAAACACTGGCCTGCAAGCGCTCCAGTTGGAGAACAGCCTTGACCAAAGGTGTCCTGGGCTTTGAAGACACTCGAACTCAGGATGCAAGGGAGAAACGTGCTAAGAGGACGGCGCACTTGGCAAATCCACACCGTGATCAACTCTCGCCCAGGAACCAATGTCCCCACTGTGGAAGGACGTGTGGATCCAGAACTGGCCTCCACAGTCACTTAAGGACTCATTGTTAAAACCGTGTTTATGGAAGACAATCTTACTCAGCAACAAGGCATCGCCAATTCCCTGGGGACTGGTTCAGAAGCTCCCGGTGCAGAATGCTGCAGCCAGATTGCTGATGGGAGCCTCTGGGCAAGGACATTGTTAAAACAGCTGCATTGGCTCCCCATCTCCTACTGAACCAAGTTCAAAGTCCTCCTATTAAGTTACGATGCCCTGAACAATTTAGGCCTAAATTGCTCAGGGACCAATCCTGGCTCCATCGCTGAGATCATCTGCACCACTGGTTATTCCCTGAGTTGGTGAGGAGCATTTGACAACAATGAAAAACTGAGCCTTTCAGCCCAATCCTGTGGAACACTCTGCCACTAGAGATTCAGAAGGCACCTTCATTTGGATTTTATAATGCTACTGAAAACAGTTCTATCTCACCAGGCAAACAGGAACACAGTTTTCCACAATAGCTAGCTGATCTCTGATTATAACATGTTTATATTGTTTTCTGTAGAATGGTTGTAAATTGCTCTGATTTCTTTTTAGGAGTTTTTATTTAAAAAACAACACTAAATGAGCTTCAATAGGAATCTAAGAGCCAGGCTTCAAATGGAGATGAAAGCACACCCAGACCCCTCTCCATCCTTTCAAGGGGAGAGCAGAGAGCACCCCAATTATGGGGAGGATCAGACCAGGCCAAGCAACTCCCTGCCCCATCACAGGACAAGCTCCCCACTGCCAGAAGGACCCTCTTTGGGCTGTACTAGCCAGCCAGCCAAACCGCCTCCTAGTCGGGCAGGCCAAGCCGGTGCCCCTGTCTCTGACCAGTCCTTGCTGGGGGGCTTTGAGGGGCTCTGCCCTCTTGCCCAAGGAGAGCGACTGCTGCTTTAGAGGAGACCCTCCCTCCCCCCCCCCCCAGATCGTTGGGCATACAGAAATGCACTGCCTGAAACCAATCCTGTGCAAGACCAGCGTGGGGGGGGGAGGGCAGGACACGGAGCACTACCCCCCAAGAGGTGACAGACCTCCTGCTCAGAGGGTACTAAGTCCCGGCCTGGGGGGGGGGGGGAGATGAAAAGTGTCCCTGCAGCTTGAGATGATTTAGAGAGGCGGGAGCGGAATAAGAGGGGGCTAGAAAGGGGCAGAGCAGGCGCGACACCCAGGATACCCCCACCAAGAGAGTGGCTTCCGAGGGGTGGGATGTTAGGAACAGCAGCCCCGCCATCCCGGCCTCCCCGGACGGCCAGCCAGGCTCCTGGGGCTGCCGGTTCGAATCCCGCGCCGGGGCTGAGCCTGGAGGAAGCGGGGGCTCCGGGGCGCCCGCTTGGCGGAGAGGCTTCCCCAAGAGAACCAAGGCGCGGCTGCTGCTGCTGCTGCTGCTGCTGCTTACCCGCTCCGGCTCCGCTCCGGCTCCCGCTCCCGCTCCGGCGCTGCGCTCGCCTGGGCCGGTCTGGGCGGGCGCGGCCGGGCGCGGGGCCGGGGCGCTGCCGGGCAGCAGGAAGGGGCGGCTCCGGCCGGCCCTCCAGCCCGTGGGCGCCCAGCTGGGCCGGGGCCGGCCGGGCGGGAGGAGGGTCAAGGCAGTCCCGGCCCCGCCCGGGGAGGGGCCGCCGCCGCGCAGGAAGCCGCCCCCGAGAGCGCGGCCAGGCGGAGGGGCCGTCGCGGCGCTCTGCACGCGCTCAGAGGCGAGGAGCGGAGGCTCCAGAGGCAGGACAGAGGCAGCGGCGGGCCGGGTCCCGGTTGCTCTTGGAAGGCGCTTTGCCCCCACCCACCGTGGAGAAATATGAAGGGGGCGCCCCTCCCCCCGAGTGGAAGGTTCCCCCGCTTCGCCCTCTCATTTGCCCGTCTCCAGGTGCGGCCGAGGGGTGCCTGAGCATGTGCAGAGAGCCCGCGCCACGGCGGGGGCCACTGGGCTTGATGCCAGTCCCCTTCTCTGCCGGAGAGCGAGCCCTGCAGCAGGAGCCCATCCCCTCGCCCTTCAGGATGCCCCAAACCCCCTTCTCAAGCCCTGGGAGCAGCAGGGGGTTGCTCCCCCATTTGGCATGGCGACTGGAGGTGCCTTATGCCATGCCAGATAACACCCATCACTGACTGGCAGCAGCTGTCCAGGAGATCTCTCCAGCCAGCCCCACCTGCGTGCTGCCCTTCGGAAACTGAACTCGGGACCTCCTAGGAGCCAGTCAGGCGCTCTGCCCTTGGGATCACCCTCTCCTGAGACCAGGAAGGAGGGTTGTTTCCTGCAGATTTTCCTCCCCCCACCCCCACCTGACAAGGAAGTTAAAGCTGTGATCGACACAGAAGAGTTGTTATAGCAGATAAGAAAAGAGGGACAGGGAGGGAGAAGGAAAAATGGAAAGTATTGAAAGTTACAGTTCTTATTAGAACCAGCTGAGCTGGAAATAGTTTATGCAGCATAACCTGTTTTAACTGCTTTTAATTCTGAATTTTAAACTGCTGTAACCCACCCTAAGAGCTACTGGTGAAGGGCTGGTAATAAATGTAATAAATAATTATTATTTCAGCCCCACCCCCATATACATTTCCTATAACAGCCACTTTGCAGGCTCCAAAAACTCCCAGCTCCTTTGTGGGTCAAGACACGTCCTTCATATAAGTTGAATAGGAGTGGCTGGGAAAACCCAGCCAGATGGGTGGAGTATAAATAATAAACTGTTGTTGTTGTTGTTGTTGTTGTTATATAGTAGACACCAAAATCCGCCCCACCCAACACACACAGAGAGCCCCTCACTTTCCTTTCAGGCCAGTCGTTGCCTCTGAGCCCAGCCTGAAGGAGGCATTCGGGGCAGCAGGCAGGGACAACTCCAGGGGAGCAACCCCCCACTTTCCCTTCTCCCAAGTCTGCTACCTCCCCCCCCCCCGCCATTCCACCTTACCATAACTGGCTGCTGGGGACCAGGAGACCCCAAACACCCGGGCAAAGCATTCGCACATCTCTGCCCTGCTCTCCAGATCCCCAAGCTTCGTCCCACAGGGAAGCACCCACAGCTCTGGGGCGGGGGGCAATGCCGTGCCGAGCTGCCAAGCACAGCGAAATGCCGCCCAGCCCCCCAGCCCAGCCCCCCAACACACACCGAGGCATGAAAAGGGAGCCAGCCAGCAGGATTAGCGCAAGGCCACCATCAGCAGTTTGGGCAGCCTCTGAAAAGCATCCCCGCATTGTTGGACTCAGTGGACACCCGGCACAGACAAAAGGGAGCCCCCCCCCATGTCCCGTCTGCCCCTGGACGGGCCGCTCGGACGGGAGGGCAGTGAGCCAGAGGAAGCCGTCCGAGCGCCGGCCTCTTTGTCCCCTGCAAAGTCCAGCAGTTTTAGACCTCCCTGAGACCCAGACTCCTGGGCCACCCAGTGGAACAACAGTCCAGCCCCAGAGGTTTGGGCAAGTTATTTCATAGAATCCTAGAGTTGGAAGAGACCACAAGGGCCATCGAGTCCAACCCCCTGCCAAGCAGGAAACACCATCAGAGCACTCCTGACATATGGTTGTCAAGCCTCTGCTTAAAGACCTCCAAAGAAGGAGACTCCACCACACTCCTTGGCAGCAAATTCCACTGGCGAACAGCTCTTACTGTCAGGAAGTTCTTCCTAATGTTTAGGTGGAATCTTCTTTCTTGTAGTTTCGATCCATTGCTCCGTGTCCACTTCTCTGGAGCAGCAGAAAACAACCTTTCTCCCTCCTCTATGTGACATCCTTTTATATATTTGAACATGGCTATCATATCACCCCTTAACCTCCTCTTCTCCAGGCTAAACATGCCCAGCTCCCTTAGCCGTTCCTCATAAGGCATCGTTTCCAGGCCTTTGACCATTTTGGTTGCCCTCCTCTGGACACGTTCCAGTTTGTCAGTGTCCTTCTTGAACTGTGGTGCCCAGAACTGGACACAGTACTCCAGGTGAGGTCTGACCAGAGCAGAATACAGTGGCACTATTACTTCCCTTGATCTAGATGCTATACTCCTATTGATGCAGCCCAGAATTGCATTGGCTTTTTAGCTGCCGCGTCACACTGTTGGCTCATGTCAAGTTTGTGGTCAACCAAGACACCTTGATCCTTTTCACATGGACTGCTCTCAAGCCAGGTGTCACCCATCTTGTATTTGTGCCTCTCATTTGTTTCGCCCAAGTGCAATACTTTACATTTCTCCCTGTTAAAATTCATCTTGTTTGTTTTGGCCCAGTTCTCTAATCTGTCAAGGTCGTTTTGAAGTGTGATCCTGTCCTCTGGGGTGTTAGCCACACCTCCCAGTTTGGTGTCATCTGCAAATTTGATCAGGATGCCCTTGAGTCCATCATCCAAGTCATTGATAAAGATGTTGAATAAGACCGGGCCCAAGACAGAACCCTGTGGCACCCCACTAGTCACTCTTCTCCAGGATGAAGAGGAACCATTGATGAGCACCCTTTGGGTTCGCTCAGTCAGCCAGTTACAAATCCACTGAGTGGTAGCATAGTCAAGACCGCATTTTACCAGCTTCTTTACAAGAATATCATGGGGCACCTTGTCAAATGCCTTGCTGAAATCAAGGTAGGCTACATCCACTGCGTTCCCTTCATCTCCTAGGCTTGTAATTCTGTCAAAAAACGAGATCAGGTTAGTCTGATTTTTCAGAAATCCATGCTGACTATTGGTGATCACAGCATTCCTTTCTAGGTGCTCACAGACTGTTTGCTTAATGATCTGCTCCAGAATCTTCCCTGGTATTGATGTCAGACTGACTGGGCGGTAATTATTTGGGTCCTCTCTTTTCCCCTTTTTGAAAATAGGGACAACAGTTGCCCTCCTCCAGTCTGCCGGGACTTTGCCTGTTCTCCAGGAATTCTCAAAGATGACTGCCAGTGGTTCTGAGATCACATCTGCCAGTTCTTTTAATACTCTTGGATGCAGTTCATCTGGCCCTGGAGACTTGAATACATCTAAACTAGCCAAGTATTCTTGTACTATCTCCTTAGTTATTCTGGGCTGTGTTTCCTCTGCTGAATCATTTGCTCCAAATTCTTCAGGTCGGGCATTGTTTTCTTTATCGGAGAAGACTGAGGCAAAGAAGGCATTGAGGAGTTCAGCCCTTTCTGTGTCCCCTGTTTGCATTTCACCATCTTCTCCTCTGAGTGACCCCACTGTTTCTTTGTTCTTCCTTTTGCTACGAACATACCCATAAAAGCCTTTTTTGTTGCTTTTAACCTCTCTAGCAAGCCTGAGTTCATTCTGTGCTTTAGCTTTTCTGACTTTGTGTCTACACGTGCTGGCTATTTGTTTGAATTCCTCTTTGGTGGTTTCCCCCCTTTTCCATTTTTTGTACACATCCTTTTTTAATCTTAACTCAGTTAAAAGTTCTTTAGATAGCCACCCTGGCTATTTTTATTTGTTTGATTTAGAAATGTATACATCGCTTGACTGTAAGAAGAAACCTCAAAGAGCTTTGCGAAGAGACGAGAACATCAGGAGAGCCTGCGGGGTGATGGGCTCTCCTTCCTTGGAGGTTCTGAAGCAGATCTTGGATGCTTTAGCTGAGATTCCTGCATTGCAGGGGGCTGGACTAGATGACCCTCGGGACGCCTTCCAATTCTACAATTCCATGATTCTGTGGACCAGGCCAATGTTCTCAGCACCTTGTTCTCCCAGTGGCCAACCAGATACCCCCAATGGAGGAGTGTGTCAAACCACTGGAGAGTTGTGGCGCTTGCTGTGACTGAAGAGACCGATAGGGGAGAGATGCTTTGTTGCAGCCGGGGCAGAGGAAGTCACCCGGTTGTGTTGATGAAGATGCACCAGGACCTTTCTTCTCTCTGCGCTCCTCCCAGCGTCATTCCTCCTCTGGTCACTGCTGTAGATACACGACCTGATTACTCCATGAATTTTTCTAAAAGCAAATTAGCTTCTAATACTTTAAAAATTCAGAGATCACAAACATGCATCAGAAACTGAACTTTTGGTATTCAGTAAAGGAGAGAGTCAGTGTGATGTTTAAAAAATGTAGTATAAACAGCAACAATTGGGAAACACTGGCCTGCGAGCGCTCCAATTGAAGAACAGCCTTTACAAAGGTGTGATAGGCTTTGAAGACACTCGAACTCAGGACGCAAGGGAGAAACGTGCTAAGAGGACGGCACACTTGGCAAACCCTCGCCGGGATCAACTCCCTCCCGGAAACCAATGTCCCCACTGTGGAAGGACGTGTGGATCCAGAATTGGCCTCTTCAGTCACGTAAGGACTCACTGTTAAAACCGTGATTATGGAAGACAATCTTTCTCGGCTACGAGGGATCACCGAAGAAGAAGAAAAAGAAGAAGAAGAAGAGTATGTCAGATGAGGTCCTGGGAGACCTGGGGTTAAATCCCCACTCAGCCATGAAGCTTACTGGGTGACCTTGGGCCAGTCGCTCACTCTTAGCCTGACCTACCTCGCAGGGGTGTTGTGAGGATAAAATGGGGAGGGGGA